ATAAGTTCTAGGTTGAACTTTGGCAAAAGGGCACACTTCTTAAATTCTCACTCAACTTTTTGTCCAGAAACATAATGTTCCTCACTTGGGCCCTTTATTTGCCTTCCACCCGGGTGCTGCCCAGATTCCTGCTGGAGCTGCCCAGGAAAGTCCTCCTTGTACCACCAGGATTTAAGACCAGCAGCTCTGCTTTAGTCAGCCCTGCTGGAGTCCCACTATAACAGGAAATCCTAACAGTGCAGTGACTTTACAGAGTGAAAGTTCACCTCCTGTTCCTGTTGTAGTCCCAGGCACGTTGGGTGAAGCACTCTGCTCCACAGTCACCCAGGGACCCAAGCATCTTCTGCCTTGGGGAGCTACCTTCATGGGCCTAGTCCTCCTTTGCACTAAACTCACAAATGGGTTCAGAGTATGGAGGGTCTCTCAGCCTCAGTTTCCACATCTGTAAATGGAGATATTGATAACGTAGCTCTGCCTACTTTGTGGAGTTGTCAAGAGCACTGCTTGGGATCGGGCTGGAGAACCCTTCACATACTTGGAGAGGTTTCCTTGTGGCCCTTGGTGCCAGCTCTGAGGTTCTCTGTGTCCTGTGAAACCAGAAGGGTCCCTTTGGGGCAGGGAGATTCAGATTGAAGACTTGGCCAATCACTGAGCTGCTCTCCTTCCCACCCAGCCCCTATGATGCCAAGAATCCATTCTTGGCTGTCGTCACCACCAACCGGAAGCTGAACCAGGGAACTGAGCGACACCTCATGCACCTGGAATTAGACATCTCAGATTCCAAAATCAGGTACCAGCTACTGCCACTCCCTCTCCCACACCATCACTCGGGGCCTCCTGATTTGGGTACAGAGGCCTTCCACCCTCCTCCTGAGCCTTACATCTATCTCCCCCCCAGGTATGAATCGGGTGACCATGTAGCTATTTACCCAGCCAATGACTCTGCCCTGGTCAACCAGATTGGCGAGATCCTGGGTGCTGACCTGGATGTTGTCATGTCCCTGAACAATCTTGATGGTGAGTTCTGGAATCAAGGCCACTCCCCCTTGCCTGCCTGGGCCTGCGGTGGCTGATAGGAATAAGTCCTTTGGCAAGGCCTGTAGGTTGAGCTGCTTAGATCTGAAGCCCTGGTACCCACATTTATCAGTCCTGTAGCAAACTTGGGGGGCAGGGAGCAAAAGTAGCTGTGGTGTCTAGTCCTCTACCTTGGGGTTCCCTCCATCCCCTCACTGGCATAGCCCTATGAGGGAGTGGGGGGGAGCGGTGCCTAAAGAGGGACTACTGGCAAGGGCCCTGGTCCCTAGGCCTGGCTCCACCATTACTGGCTACTGAGGACCTAGGGCCGCCCTCTCCCTGCTCCAGAGCCTGCGTCTCCTCACCTGTAAACTTGGGGATCAGAGTCAGCAATGCTAACAGCCCCCCAGGTCCGTGCAGGGTGCTCAGAGTGCAAGAGGCACTAAATATGGTATAGGATTTTCCCAAGACTTCAAAGGACTGACTCTGGCCTCTTGCTCTGACCCCTTGGTACCCCCACTGACCATCCACCTGGGGCCCAGCTCTACCTGGTGCTGCCCCACTCACTCTCGTCCTTGGTCATCCTAGCCTGGCTGCTCCTCCTCACCAGCTTGAGTCAGCCTTTGAAAGGAACAGCAGGAAAGCGGGCTGACTTATATTATAATTAGTCATGCCGGCTGTGGAGGCACAGTGGACACACTGTCTCTCTCGTTCTGTCGAGTATGTCATGTCCCTGTACCATCAGAGGTGGCACCTTGCTGGGGAGGGTGTGGTGTGCTCACTTTCCCCCCAGGACAATCTGAACCCCTGCAGGGGACCCTTCACTGCTGAGAACTGCCCAGAAAGAGGTGCAGAGGCTCAGAACTCCCCACTGCAGAAGTGTAGCTTTAGGAAAGGTGCAGTCATAGCATTTCCTGCAGTGTGAAGCCTGAGCCCTGTTTCTGGGCTCAGTACAGAGGACTCTGTGGTGCTGGGAACACCCAGCCTTTTTTTCTGGATTCTAGATACACAAGGATGTTGTGAAAATTCATTACGCTATACATGTATAACTTGTATGCTTCCTGTAGGTTATACTGCAGTAAGAAGTTCAAACCCTTTCAAAAACTAGACCCAAATCCTAAAATGCTGAGCCCTTCCTGGGCCAAGGCCCTCAGTGTCCTCGGCAGAGGCTCATCTGCACAGGCTTTATATAAAACAGCCCCCACAGTCATGCCTCTAAGAGGGGGAGATGCTTTTTGGCAGCTCCCAGGCTGGCCCTGCTCTAGTCTGGAGGGAGGAGGTCAGTAAAGCTGGCCTGGTGCCTGGTGGCAGAGAAGGCTGCAGCAAGGGCTGGCAGTGGGGCCTGCACCAGTGCCTGCAACTGGAGCGTACGGATGCTGCACCAAGAGCTCAGCTGTGTGCCCTGTGTAGACCTCCAGGTGTATCCAAGCATAAAAACTGACCTGGAGCGGCCCTGCCATCACAGCTGAAAGCCGCGGTGTTGGCATCTCACAGTCATGAGCCTGGGGCCCCCACAGTAGACTGGGCTCAGCCCGCAGGCAGGCAGACACACCGGGGAGCCCTGCCTCTGCAGCCCTCTCTCTGAGCCACTTAGGAACTGACTCTCCTGGAGTGGAAAGGTCCCGCCTGAGGAGGACATGTCTGGCCTGAAGCTTGAGGCTGGCTGAAAGCCTGAGGCTCAGCCCCAGGGCCCGCAAAGAACTGGCCCTGCTTCCAGTGCCAGCTGGGCCACCCGCTTCCTACAGAGTAGCCTTCGGCTTCTCCCACCCCAACCCCATGGCATCCCCCTCACACCAAATCCTGCCTTCTCTGTCCCTGCAGAGGAATCCAACAAGAAGCATCCATTCCCCTGCCCCACCTCCTACCGCACAGCCCTCACCTACTACCTGGACATCACCAACCCGCCACGCACCAACGTGCTCTACGAGCTGGCCCAGTACGCCTCCGAGCCCTCGGAGCAGGAACACCTGCGCAAGATGGCCTCTTCCTCGGGCGAGGGCAAGGTCAGTCTGCTGCTTTCACCCCCAGCACCCAAGCTTGCAGCTCCACCAAGCCACTCTTCAAGGAGCTTGGGTCCAAAGTTAGCCCTGTCCCCTGGAACCACTGTGTCCCCTCACCGTGGCTCACCCCAAGTTGTCTTCCCCAGGAGCTGTACCTGAGCTGGGTGGTGGAGGCTCGGAGGCACATCCTGGCCATCCTGCAGGACTACCCATCCCTGCGGCCCCCCATCGACCACCTGTGTGAGCTGCTGCCTCGGCTGCAGGCCCGCTACTACTCCATCGCTTCTTCCTCCAAGGTGGGAAAGGCTGGCAACTTACAGAAAGCATAGCATTGGCTCTGAGGGACATGGGAGCCCCGAGTGCGGCTCCAGCTCTGACCCAAGCTCCTGGGACAGTTCACTCCGTTCACTGGGCAGTAATCCCAGTAGGCTGTCTGTAAGATTGCACACTGCTTCCAGCCCTGGTGGCAAGAGCCAGTCAGGAAAGCTACTGGAAAGGGGCTTTTGGGGGTTGGGCACCATGAAGGGTATGGAGAAGCCCTAAGGCAGCTCGGGTGACAGGGCTGGTGGCAGAATGGGGCCTCGGGCACCACTGTTGAACTCACTCCTGCCCTCCACCAGGTCCATGCCAACTCTGTGCACATCTGTGCTGTGGTTGTGGAATATGAAACCAAGTCTGGCCGAATCAACAAGGGTGTGGCCACCAGCTGGCTTCGGTCCAAGGAGCCCGCAGGGGAGAACGGCCGCAGGGCCCTGGTGCCCATGTTTGTGCGCAAGTCCCAGTTCCGCCTGCCCTTCAAGGCCACCACACCTGTCATCATGGTGGGCCCTGGCACTGGGGTTGCCCCCTTCATAGGCTTCATTCAGGAGCGGGCCTGGCTGCGGCAGCAGGGTGAGTGTGGGCCCAAGTGGATGTGAGGGGAGTGGGGGAAGGGGCAGAGATGGGACAGATTCCATGCCCACTCTGGGCACTCGCCCCTCCAGGTAAGGAGGTGGGTGAGACGCTGCTCTACTATGGCTGCCGCCGCTCTGACGAGGACTACCTGTACCGTGAAGAGCTGGCCCAGTTCCACAAGGAGGGCTCCCTCACCCAGCTCAATGTGGCATTCTCCCGGGAACAGCCCCAAAAGGTGAGGAAGGGGCCGACCGCTCTGGCGGGTGGAGGGCTGCGAGACTGGCCTCCTCACGGGCACCACCCTCTGTCCTCAGGTCTACGTCCAGCACTTGCTGAAGAGAGACAAGGAGCACCTGTGGAAGCTGATCCACGAGGAGGGCGCCCACATCTATGTCTGTGGGTGAGTGAGGGTAGAGGAGTGGGAAGATTGAGGCTCTGTCTGCCCATGGGGACACTCCTTGCCCAGCCCCCAATGCCACCTTCCTCCCCACAGGGATGCTCGGAACATGGCGAGGGATGTACAGAACACCTTCTACGACATCGTGTCTGAGCTGGGGTCCATGGAACACACCCAGGCCGTGGACTACATCAAGAAACTGATGACCAAGGGCCGATACTCCTTGGATGTGTGGAGCTAAGAGCCCACTTTGCCCTCATGTCCTATAGACTTGGCTTCCCCATATAATCACTTTCCTCCCCTTCTGCAGCTTCCTGGATGGGTTCTGCTGGGCCTTGTCCCAGGATGCAGACTCAGTGACAAAGACTGAGGCCTCCTGCCTAAAGGCACCTGGCCAAGGGTGACCAGGTCCTCACTTTGTGAACACCTCAGGCCTCCAGTGGCTGTACAGAAGGGGCTCTTCTCTCAGCTGAGCAGGGGTTTGGCCCCTCCACGTGATTTTCAATGAATGTAAATAATTTTAAATAACCTCTGGCCCTTGGAATAAAGTTGTTTTCTGTATTTGCCTGATGTTCCTCAAACAGATCTGGGGCCTTCACCTAGGTCTGCTTAGTTGAGACACCAGAGAGACCAACTCAGGAGCCCCAAGAACCCGTGCTGTGGCAGCACAGAGAACCACCAGGAGACCACACACCTCGCGCCACCTCTGTGCCTCTCTTCCTTTATTAAGGCCACTGGCCCCCAGCTCGCCACAGGCTGGGACACAGGTCCAGGTCTTCTCCAGCATAGCCTTTGGGGCCCACAGAGCCCACAAGACCCAGAGAGAGCAGACAGACCTTCTGGACGAGGGAGTCCCACCTCCTAAAACAATACATGGGGTACAGAAGCCCCTTCCAGGCCAGTGGGCAGACGATGCAGCCTCAATCTTTCTTGCTCCTGTGCCGCTGACTGTGGAATTTCTGGTGCACAACTCGCAGGGTGGTGAAGAAATTGCCGAGGAAGAGAAGGAGGAAGGGGAGGCCGCACATAAGCACCTGGGGGGGGGGGGGGGATCAGGATTAGGACAGGGGCCAAACCACAGTCCTCCCAGGGTGCTTTCCAGGGTCCCTGGCTCACCTGCCACTCCTTGCACTCAGGATCCCGGGCCAAGCTGAACAATGTCAGCGCGTTAAAAAGCTGCCAGAACTGGGAAGGAGGGGGATTTCACATAGAACACAGTCCCTGCTCGAGCCAGAGCAGGGGCTGGACAGCCAGATGGAAGGGGACACAGATACAACTTACATGTCCAAAGAACAGAAAGGGCAGCAGGAAGGTGAGGCCCCGCCACATCCAGGACTGGAAGCCCTCTGTGAGGGAGAAGGGGCAGGGCATAGAATAACCAGTGATAAGAGACAGACACTATCACTCAGGTAGAGAGGAAAGGACTGCCCCTTCCCAGCTTCCTGGTCATGATCCAGTGAAGGGGCCACGCCCGACTCACCCACAGTGAGATCCATGGTGTGCCTCTCACCCAGGGCCCGAAGGCGGTACAGGCAGCCACTCTGATAGTAATACTGCAGGAACTGCACGAAGCCTGGGGGGTGGAGGACATCAGGACTGGGCTGGACCCCACGTCCTTTCCCCGCCCTTCTCTCTGGGCAAGTCCTGAGCTGAGCAAGGCCCTGAGACACTCACTCTGGTACATGGAGAAGGACAGGAATTGATTCCGGAACTTCTGGTACATGAGGCCGTCGGGCCTAAGGCAGAAAGCAGAGGGAGGGGTGTGAGCTTGGGGATGCCGAGTCTTCCTGTCCTGGCTCCCCCTCTCCCCCACTGCCAAGGCCCTGGGAGCCAAGCTGGGCCACTCACCATGTCAGCATGACTCCCGACAGGAACGTGGACACATAATGATGGAAAACCCACCAGCCTTTGATCCTAGATCAGGAAGCTGCTGTCACTTCTGTAACCCTTAGCCCCCAGGATTGGTGCTCAGGGACAGGGAGCTGTCTGAGGTGGGAAGAAACCAACACCCCAGCCCAGTTCCTGCTTCTCAGAGGGCCGTGGCACCACCACTCCACTTTCTAGGGTAGCTCCAGTACCCGCTCCCTCACCCCCCCCCCCCCCCGAGGAGCTGGGGTCAGGCCCTTGCCCACCTGGAACCATTGTTGATAAGGATGCTCTCTCGAATGGTCAGTGTGCAGTAATACCAGACCAGCAGGAAGTTGAAGGCAGCGTCTGTCACCCTACAGAGGGAACGCAAGGTTGGTGCTGGAGCCAGAGAAAACTAGGTCTGGCCCGAGCTGTAGGACACCCACCTGGAGTTGAGGAGGAAGCGACAGGTGAAGGAGATGAGGATGAGGATGATGGTGAGGTAGAGCTTGAACTTCTCGTACTCATCTTTGTAGGCAAACCTGGGGTGGGCACACACACACATGGGACAGGCTGGGATGCTGGTGGGACCCACCCTCACCTCTGCCTGAGAAGGGGGGCACCTGCTCCAGACACAGCTGCATGCATGGCATGGGCCAGCATGAGGGAGTAGCCCCTGAACCTCAAGGCTTAGCCAGGGCAGTTGGAGCAGTGGAAAGGCCCCAGAAGGGTGGAGAGCTGGGCTGAGAACCAGCCTACAATAACCAATTACTTAGCCTGCTTGCTCAGGAGTGTCACGTTGACGTTGCCCAGAACCAGGCTCAGGTACAACCTAGGGAAGGAGGAGATGGGGTGAGAAGAGGCCCCAAATGAAAGCAGCCAAAAGCCGAGCCCTGGAGTGTGCCAGACCAGTATCTGGATCACCACCCACACCCAGCCTTCCCATGGCCTTGGCTTAGGGCTCTGACCTTGGGATGCTGCAGACCAGGAAACACTGATGCGCAGCCTTTGTTTCTGCCTACTGCTAAATCCTGCTTCAAGGTAAATAACTTTCCCTCCCTCCGTTGTCATCCTCACCCACGCTCTCCCAGCGCCCCCTACCGTGGGTCCTCAAGAGCAGCCTGGCTCTTCCACCCCATGAAAGCCTTGCCCACATCTCAGATCGCTCCTGTGCGTCTGGGCAGTGGGCTCAATGTCTGGGTGCATGATCACCATCTATCACCTACCCTACAGTTCCTGCTGCTTTTGAGAACCTGCGGCCCCAAGTCCACTACAGCAACCCACACTCACAACCACTCCAGGACCTCCTCCCAACCAAGAATGGCCTCCTCGGCAAGGCTGGTTACATTCTGATCAGAGTGCCCAGCCGCGCAGCCCGTTCCACCACATGGACCCTCCCCACACGGAGGCTCCCAGGCACTGTTGACCTTGCTCCTCTTTCCTGAGCCAGCTAAGTCCCCAAGCCCTCCTTCACATTCAACCACTTTCTTGCCAACTTGTAACTCCCAGTTCCTGGCACTGCCATCACACCCATCACCCAGCTTGTCTGGTCCTTCTCTGCCAGGGAAACCTCAAGAGGTGACCAGAGAGTCTCAGTCATGCACTAAGCACCCACACCCACATGGGCTCTTGTTCACGCCAAATGGATGGGTTCGGAGCGGTTAAAGGACTTGCCCAAGGCTGTGAAGAAATCAAGGGGCATAGTGGACACTTAGACAAGGCTGCCCCCCAGGACCACCACTGGCTCCCTATCCCATCCTTTCGCCTTCCTGGCATCCGACACCTCTCCTGCCTGCACTGTCACGCTTATCTCTGCACCCCCTCTCATTCCCAAACAACAGGAGCCTATGTCCAACCCTCTCCATCTTCCCAAGAGTTTTCCTCCATCACTTGGTGTTCCCTTTCTGGGTCTCTCCCTCTGCTGGCCCACTTTTCAGCAGGTAGATACACTCATTTGTCCTATTGTTCAAGGTTACACATAGGCTCAAGCAAAAGCCGCACCCCAGCCCCAACCCTCACACTAAGTTCTAGGTACTAGTTCCTCTTTCCACTCACAGCCAAGCTTCTGAAGTGTAACCTAAACCTGGCTGTCTCCTCAGCTCTTCTGTCATTCCCAATATCAACTTCCACCCACACCGTCCCGTGAAGTGGTTCTCTCCAAGGTCACCATGACTTCCAGGAAGTATTTCCCCTTCATTACTACATTTGACCCCTGAGGCCAACTGATCTGAGGCTAATACTCCTTCTTACCTTGCCCTCTGGGACATGCTCTCTCCCAGCTGTCTGGCTACCTGCCATCTCTGCTGGACTTTTTTTTTTTGCTCAGCCTAGGGTTCTGCACTGTACCTACTCATCCTCCTCAGTTGTGGAAGTTCATACTTACTTGACCTGTCACTCTCCCCTGCTTGCTAGGCCCAAAGTGGGCTCTGCAGCCTGGCTCCCCTGGGGTCTCATCACTACCTCTCACCTCCCACTGCTATTACTGCTTTTCTGAGTTGGCCAGGTTCAACTCCACTCAGGCCTCAGCTACTCCAGGAGGCTCTCTCTGACCTCCTGGGCTGGATTAGGGGCCTCCCTTATCCCCTGTTCACTGTAGGTCAACCTCAAAGCACCCAATCACAGTGAGCTGTCTCTCAGCTGTCTCCCCTGAGACAGACTGCTCAGCCCAGAGTGGGTCCAGGGAACATCTGCTGACTCAATGATCAAGCAGAGGAAGAGTGCACTCAGGCCTGTCTCCCAGGAGTGGCTGTGAGCTGAATTTGGGGGCAGGGTCTCACCCATTCTTCTTGGGCAAATAGGCTTCCATATCGAAGAAGAGGCCTTGGCGCTCCTTGATCTGGTTCTCCAGCTCCTTCGAAGCCTCCTGGACCCCCGCTGGAAGGGAGGGTTTGCATCTGCAGGTGGGACCACAGAAGCCAGTCAGAGCAGGAGTATCACACTGACACCTGTGGGGCAGGAGGGCTACCATGGCTCAGAGAGGGAGGGGAGGAGCTGTGCCAAAGACACTCCCAGGGTCAGCACCAGCCAGCCCTCCACCCACCAGGTGAGACACCCACACCCAGACCAAGACTGAGGGGCCATGAGGGGCCCTCGGGGTGCGGGGGGTCCTAACTTCTTTAGAATGAGGGCCAGCTCATGGAGCTTCTTCTTCTGCCGGGTGATGGAGCTGGTACAACTGTTCTGCAGTTTGATCAGCTCTTCCAGCTTCAGACGGTACTGCCTGTGGGTCTCCTGAGGACCAGGATGAGAGAAGGGTCAGACTGGCTGGAGGGCCATTGAGCCAGAGCCTGCTGGGCAGGGACTGGGGCGCAGACTCCTCCAGGGCTCCTTGGGAGGGTCTCAGCAGATGAGGCAGCCAGCTGTGCCAGCCCAGGGACCTCCCTAAAGTTGCTCTCTCTCTCCAAGGCAGGCAAGGAGACAGAGTATTCTTTCTGCAAGCCCAGAAGCACCCATGGCACCCCGCTTCCAGAAACTGGCTAGTTCCCTGAAGGTTTTTTTAGTCTAAACTCATCTACTAGTTGTTTCCACCCCTCTCTGTCCTGCCCTGAGTCTGGATTCTAAGCCCACAGGTCCACCTTCTGGACCAAACAGGCTACCTGAAGCCACCCCTGGCCTTGGCCGATGCTCCTGCCTATCCAGCCACATGTGCAGAGGGAGCTGGGATTGTCCAAGATGGCCTCTGCTCTGGCACTCCCTTCATCTTCCTCCCAGGTTAAAGGTCATCAGGCTTCAGTCCTTGGTCTTCCTGCTATAAGACCAGTCCCATACACCTCCCCCAGCACCTTTGGCCCAAAGCCTCCCAGAGCACTTTGCCCTGGTGGGTGAGTCTAGAGAAGCAGCAGCCTGGAGGTTGGGCAAGGGGCAATGTGAGGAAGGTCAGGCCGGGGCTGAGGCCAGGCCAGTGGTGATCAGGCTGGGAGACTAGGTCGGCTCCACTTAGGACTCTCGGAAGAAGCACTAATGGCAGCAGGTATGGCTGGCCAGGGGCGCAGCTGGGCTTCAATGTGGGCAGGGACTGCAATCAGCCCAGCAGAGGTAAAGTCCTCATCAAAAACACAGCTTTCCTGAGCTCTGCCCTGAATGAGTATTGTTCCTCCTGCCACCGCGCCCCTCAGAACCCGGCAGGTTCCCCCTCTGCCCACGCCCAGCCCCGCCTCTCCCACTTCCTCCCTGGACGCCCCGCCGAACAGCAGAGCGGCCAATACGAGCCGGGCCGGCCAGTTCCTCCGGTGGCTCCCGCTGGTCTCGGAGACTCCGATCCCGGCCAGGCCCCCAGACGCCTGCGGGTCTGGTCCACCCGCTTCCCCCCGACTCCGCGGCAGCCCCATCCAGGCCGGGACGTCACCTACACACCACCGCCCCGGCCCGGCCCGCCGGCCTCCCGGGCTGCACCCCAGGTGCACTCGGGCCAGATGTGCTGCCCCGGGGGCGGGACGGCACTACTCGCGGCCCCGGGCGGGCGGCGCCCACCGCTTGTTCGCTGAGTGACTGACCCCACACTGGGCCCGGCCGGCTCTCACTCAAGCGGCCATTCTTCAGTAAGAAAGCGAGGTTGGGGTCGCGGCCTCTTCCCGAGGCCCTCGCGGGAGGCCCTGGGTCCGCCGGGCGCAGTGGGGTCCGCAGTTGCCTCCGTCGGACACTGACATGAGGCCGAGAGGAGAGTCCAGGCGCGACCCCGGGACCCCGGGCCTCGCCGCCCTCGGGAACGACGCCAGGGTCCCCAACTCCTGACTCCTGTTCCCCGCGGCCAGACACACAGCGGCCCGACCGATGACTCCGAGCCAGAGAGGCATGGCTCGGGGCCAATGGACGCCCTCTTCGGCGCTCACCTGGATGCTCTGGAAGTCCTGCTGCAGCTCCTCCCAGTCCCGCAGGCAGTCGCCCAGCGGGCCCGGGGGCGTGGGAGGCATGGCTGCCAGGCCCCGCGCCAGCCGAGCGGAGGCTAGAGGACGCCGCTGCCACCCGGGCGGGCCGAGGTGCCTCAGCGTCCACTGCCCCCGCCCCCGTCCGCTTCCGGGCTCGCGCCGCGGCTCCCACCAATGGGAACAGGGCCTGGGGCCGCGAACGCGCTGGCCCCGCCCCTCCCTGAGCCAATCCAGGTCCGGGGCGGGGCCTGGGCGGGGCCAAGTGCACTCCGAGCCGTTTGCCCAGCGACTCCGGGCCGGGATGCGGTCCGGGGCGGCGGCGGTCCCTCGCTGGGCTCCCCTAGTTGTGCCAACCGCGTGGTGCAGCCAGCACTGCCCCGGCCCGTCATGCTGGACGTAACCTAAAGCCCACAGCGGTGCCACCTGCTTCAAACACTTCCGTTCTTGGGAAGTTGCGCCTCAGCGAGGAGGGAATTCTGAACCTCTTCCCTCGCTTGGATTTTTGCAGCGGCCTCCTGTCTCCCTGCCTCCAGGCTCGCCGCTACTGTCCCTTCACACAGCTACCAGACTGCCCCTCCGAAAACACAAGGCGAATCCCCACCATGTCCCTGCAAAAACTTCCCCAAGGCTCTGCCCTGCCTACCACCAGGGCCCTAAGTCAGAGCCAGCGCTGCGGCTGTCCCAGGATGTGTTCCAGCTGAGATCCTGACTGAAGCCTGCGCGCCGGAAAAGCCCTTACCCCCTCGAGGGCTTAGGCTTGCTGGGGTAGGCGGGACCTCCAACCTTCTGCAGAGGTGAGATGGCATTCACCTCTGTGCCCCCAGCCCTGCCCAGGTGGCAGGGAATATTTGCTGAATGAGCAATTGATGGACATCCTAAATTCCTCATCCGTCCCCTTGTCTGTGCCCTGTCCTTGTTCTGTGGGTGCTACCCATTCTGAAGAAAACTCCTTTTATGACCTGAGGAATTTATAGAAGCCTGTGTGTGGAAGATGGGAGGGCTAGCAATCTCTTCTTGGTGAACACAGGTAGGCAGAAATGAGTGGGAGGAAGGCAAGGAAATCTGTACAAGTGATGGAGTGGTGGGGCACGCTGGGACAGGAGATGAGACAAAAGTGTACCCTTATGCCAGAAGCCTCAGTTGCGGAGCTTGGGCTTGCATCCCTAGGACTGGGGAATGTGCCCATGGGTGGGTATTGTGATACCCCTATGATCCACCACTGGCAGAGGGAACCCCTAGAGCTCCCCCCAGGTAGCCTTCAAAGGGTCCAAGTCATGGGGGGGGACATGGAGCTGCTCTGGCAGGCAGCCTCAGGAGGGCAGTGGGGGTGGTCCAGGATGACGGGGGCGACATCAGGGTGCTCGCTGAGTTTGAGCAGAGTATCTGCTATGTGGCATGAACAAGGAGCTTGGGAAGAACCAATGCAGGAGGCTGACAAGAGGCTCCAGGTAGCAAAGGCCTTTTTCCACACCAACCTGGTTACACATCCCGGCCCACTACCCACAAGAAGCTCCCAAGCAAAGTTCTTCAGGACCCATAGCTGGACCACAGAGATCAGCCGAGTGGAACCGAGATATCTGTGATAAAGCCTCCGAGAACAATCGTCTCCCATTGTGACAGCTGAGCCACTAAGGCCCGATTTGGACACACGTTGTTTTTGCACTTCTTGACGTGTTCCCAGGACTTCTGTGAACATAAGGAGAGAAAGACTTCAGAATTGGACCTGGGCCCTTCCCACTTAGATCACAGCCAGCTCAGGAGGGACAGGAGGCATTTACCCATGGGCCAGCAACATGGCTTAAGGGCTGGACACAAATAGCAAGGGTTAATACATTAGGACAAAGAAGTCAGAGCTGGCAAGCCCCTCTGCATCTCTGCTTCTGAATATAGAGACAGGAATCATTCTTATTTCAGAGGCTCCTGTGAAGGTTGAGGCAACATACATAAAACCTCCTGTGAACAAGAAAGCATCATGCCCATGCCTGGCACACGCTGCAGCCTCAACAGAGGTTTGTGGGTTTTTTTGTGTTTTTGTTGTTGTTTTAATATATTTTATTGATTTTTTACAGAGAGGAAGGGAGAGAGATAGAGAGTTAGAAACATCGATCAGCTGCCTCTTGCACACCTCCTACTGGGTATGTGCCCGCAACCCAGGTACATGCCCTTGACCGGAATCGAACCTGGGACCTTTCAGTCCGCAGGCCGACGCTCTATCCACTGAGCCAAACCGGTTTCGGCAAGGTTTGTGTTTTAAGTGGATAAATTAAGGGAAAGGGGAAGAGAACTATGGCTAATTCTCTGAAGAAGGAAAATCAAAGCTGCCGTCTTTGTCCACTAAAATGTAGGAATGGTTATTACTGGAAGTCGTGACAAGCTGATATGATCTGGATTGAGAACAGAGGAAGAAGAAAAAGACAAAAGTGGTGCCTCAACAAACTAAGAATAAAAAGAAACTATCCTAACATAAGAAAGGTCATATATGAAAAGCCCACAGATAACATCATACTCAATGATGAAAGACTGACTGCTTTTCCTTTCTTTGATCAGGACAAAACAAGGATGCCTGCTTTCACCACTTCTATTCAACATTGTACTAGAAGTCCTAGCCAGAGCAATTAGGAGAAACAAGAAGAAGAAGAAAGAAAGAAAAGGCATCCAAATTGGAAAGGAAGAAGTAAAATAATCTCTTTTTGCAGCTGACATGTTCTTATGTGTAAAATACCTTAAAGGTAACACACACACACAAAAAAAACTTGTTAGAATAAATGAATTTAGCATATTTACAGAATATAAAATCAACACTCAAAATCTGTTGTGGGACATCTGTAATACTGTCAACAACAACAAAAAAAAGTTGCATATCTATACATAATAATGAACATTCCAAAAGGGAAATTAAGAAAATAATCTTCTATATATATATATATAAAAAGCCAGCGACCAGAACACAGTAACCACCAGAACGACCGGTCACTATGACACCCACTGCGGCCAGCGAATGGGCCGATGGGGGGGGAGGGCCAGCTGGCTAACCTCCCATGGCCCCTGCCCCCAGCCAGCCCTGCCCCTGATCGGCCTCTCCCACCCTGATCGAGGGCAGGGCGGCTGGCCAACTCCCGCCCCCGCCCCCCCCCCCCCCCCCCGCCCGCCCATCCGCAGCCCTTCCCCCTACCTGGCCCCACCCCCGATGGGCCCCACCCCCGCTATTGGCCCATGGACCCTCCCCCCCAGCCATCTCTGCCCCCAATTGGCTCCCCCACTCTGATTGGGGCAGGGCCGGCTAGTCAACCACCCATGGCCCTTCCCACAGGCTGCTGGTCCCCATTTAGCCCCCCCACACCAATTGGCCAGTGGCCCCTCCCCCCAGCCAGCTCCACCCCGATCACCACGCCCCCACACCAATCGGGGGTGGGGCTGGCCGGCCAACCTTCCATGGCCCCTTCCCCAGATGCTGACCCCTGATTGGCCCCACCACCCCATTTGGGGGTGGAGCCAGCTGGCCCACCACCCACAGCCCATCCCCACAGCCAGTCCCTCCCCCAATCGGCCCTCCCAGCCCAATTGTGGGCGGGACCTGCTGGCCAATTGCCTGTGGATCCTCCCCCAAGCCAGCCTGCCCCCCCCCCCCCCCCTGTCAGGCCTGATCAGGGCAGGCCGCTGGCCAACCTCTCACTGTCTCCTCCCCCTGACAGGCCCACCCCTATTCGCCCCAATTGGGGCTGGGCTAGCCGGACCCCACCCATGCACAAATTCATGCACTGGGCCTCTAGTTTTATCTATCACAGCATCAAAAATAATACTTAGGAATAAACATAAGCAAGGAGATGAAAGATTTGTACCCCCAAAACTATAAAATGTTGATGAAAGAAATTAAGAGACATAAATAAATGAAAAGATATCCCATTTACATGGATTGGAAGATTTAATATTGATAAGATGTCAATACTACCTGAAGTGATCTATACATTTAATGCAAACTCTATCAAAAATCCAACAGCATTTTTTGCAGAAATAGAAAAATACATCCTATAAATCATATGGAATCTCAACGGATCACTGAATAGCCAAAACAATCAAGTAAAAAGAAAAACAAAGTTGGAGGCCACACACTTCCTGATTTCAAACCTTCAAAGTTATTACAATACTATAATAATCAAAACTGTGTAGTCCTGGCATAAAGACACCTAAGACCAAAGGAGTGAAATAGCCCAGAAATAAACCCTCAGATATATGGTCAAGTGATTTCACCAAGGTGCCAAAACCATTTAATGGAGAAAGGGCAGCCTTTTTAACAAATGGTGTTGGGAATACTGGATATACACATGCAAAAGCATGAAGCTGGACCCTATCTTACACCATGTACAAAAAATGAACTCAAAATAATCAAAGACCTAAAATGTAAGAGCTAAAACTATAAAACCCTTAGAAGAAAACATATGGGAAAAGTTTTATGACACCAGATTTGGCAATTATTTCTTGAATATGACACTAAAAACACAGGTGATAAATAGATAAATTGGACGACATCAAAATTAAAAACTTTTGTGCATCAAAAGAAACAATCAACAGAGTAAAAAGGCAAGCCACAGAGTGAAAGAAAACATTTGCAAGTCATATACCTGCTTTATATCCAGATGTATATCCAAATGTTAATATGAAGAATATAAGAAACTCCTAAAACTCAACAACAAAAAACAATCCATTTAAAAATTAACAAAGTGCCTTGCCTGGTGTGGCTCAGTTGGTTGAGCATCCTCCCTTGCACCAGGAGGTTGCTGCTTTGATTCCAGGTCAGCACACATGCCCGGGTTGTAGGCTCAGCCCTCCATGGGGGGTGTGCAGCAGGCAGCCATCAAAGTTATATGTGTTGTGCTCTCACATTGAGGTTTCTCTCTCCCTCTCCCTTACTTTCTCTCTAAAAAACAACAACAACAAACTATTCTTTTTTAAAATATGGACAAATTACTTAAATATGCATTTCTCCAAAGAAATATACAAATGGCCAGTAAACATATGAAAATATGATCAGCATCACTAAATATTAGGAAAATGCAAGTCAAAATTACAATGACATCCCACCTAACACCTATTAAGAGGACTACTTAAAAACAACAACAAACAAACAAACAAATAAAAAACACACAGCCCTAGCTGGTTTGGCTCAGTGGATAGAGCATCGGCCTGTGGTTGGAAGGTTACCGGGTTCGATTCCAGTCAAGGGAACATGCCTGGGCTATGGGCTCAATCCCCAGTAGGGGGCGTGCAGAAGGCAGCCAATCAATGATTCTCACTCATCATTGATGTTTCTATCTCTCTCTCCCTCTCCCTTCCTCTCTGAAATAAAAATATATTTTTACAAAATTTATTTTAAAAAACAACACAGAAAACAACTGCTGGTGAGGATGTAGAGAAATTGAAACCCTTGTGCACTTCTGTTGGAATGTAAGATGGTACAGCTACTGTGGAAAACAGTATGGAGATTCCTCAAAAAATTAAAATAGAATTACCATTTGGCCCAGCAATTCTACTTCTGGATATACACCCAAAAGAGGCCGAAACCGGTTTGGCTCGGTGGATAGAGCGTCGGCCTGCGGACTGAAAGGTCCCAGGTTCGATTCCGGTCAAGGGCATGTACCTGGGCTGCAGGCACATCCCCGGTGGGAGATGTGCAGGAGGCAGCTGATCGATGTTTCGCTCTCATCTATGTTTCTAACTATCTCTCTCCCTTCCTCTCTGTAAAAAAAAATCAATAAGCCAAAACCGGTTTGGCTCAGTGGATAGAGCGTCGGCCTGTGGACTGAAAGGTCCCAGGTTCGATTCCGGTCAAGGGCATGTACCTGGGTTGCGGGCATATCCCCAGTAGGAGATGTGCAGGAGGCAGCTGATCGATGTTTCTCTCTCATCGATGTTTCTAACTCTCTATCTCTCTCCCTTCCTCTCTGTAAAAAATCAGTAAAATATATTTTTTAAAAAAAAGAGTTGGAAGCAGTGTCTCAAAGAAATTTTTGCACATCTATGTTCATAGCAGCATTATTCACAATAGCCAAAAAGCGAAAGCAACCCAAGTGTCCATCAACAGATGAATGGATAAAGGAAATGTGGCTTATACCTGTAATGGTATGCAACTAATACAGCATCGATATATGTAAAGCAAAACTGATAGAACTGCAAGGAGAAATAGATGAATTCATTATTATAGTTGGGTACTTCATCACCCTTCTGTTAGTAATGGACAGATATAGCAGGCAGAAAGTCAGTAAGGCTATAGTTGAACTCAATAGCACCATTAGTTAACTGTATATAATTGATATCTATAGAATACTTCATTCAACAATATAATAATACACATTCTTCTCAAGCTCACATGGGACATTCACCAAGATGAATGTTCATCTAAATCAGTGGTTCTCAACCTTCTGGCCCTTTAAATACAGTTCCTCATGTTGTGACCCAACCATAAAATTATTTTCGTTGCTACTTCGTAACCATAATGTTGCTACTGTTATAAATCGTAATGTAAATATCTGATATGCAGGATGGTCTTAGGCAACCCCTATGAAAGGGTCATTCGACCGCCAAAGGGGTCGTGACCCACAGGTTGAGAACTGCTGAATCATCTAAGTTTCCATCGTTGGAAACTAAAAATACATGATAAATTAAATTCAAGTAAGCAGGAGAAAAGGAAATAATAAAAATTGGAGCAAAAATCAGTAAAATTGAAAACAAATCAATAGAGAAAATCAATGAAATCAAAAGCTGGTTCTTAGAAAAGATCAGTAAGCCTCTAGCCAGCCTAACAAAGAAAAGATGAGAGAAGACACCAATCACTAATACCAGAAATAAAAAAGAATCAATACAGATCCCAATGACGTGAAAAGGATAATAAAAGAATACTATGAACAACTCTATTCCCACATGTCGCCTAGATGAAATGGACCAACTCCTTGAAAGACACAATCTGACAACACTCATACAATCTGAACAGCCCTATGTATCTAGTAAAGAAGTTGAATCAGTAAAAAGTAACCTTTGAAAGCAGAAAGCACCAGGCCCAGACAGGTTCACCAGTGAATTCTCCACACCATGGAATGTTATTTCAATCTTTAAAAAAAAGGAAATTCCGACACCTACTACAGCATAGATGAACTCTGAAGACATCATACTAAGTGAAACAAGCCAGTCACAAAACGATAAACATTGTCTGACCCCATTTATGTGGGGTATCTAGAATAGTCAAAATCATAGAGACAAAGACGAATGGTAGTTGCCAGGGGCTGGGGGAGAAGGGGAATGGGGAATTATTGTTTAATGGGTATAGAGTTTCAGTTTTGCAAGATGAAAATGTTCTGGAAATCTGTTGCAAAACAATGTGAATATGCTTAACACTACTGAACTTTACACTTGAAAAAGTTAAAGTGGTAAATTTTGTGTTATCTGTGTTTTGTCACGATTTAAAATAAATAAAACACAGTGATACCCGGGGCAAAGCTGTGCAGTTACAAGATTTCTAAGTCCTGACCAGGTTAGAACAGGCCCTTGAGAACCAACCATAACCATAGCACCCCATACCCATCCACACACTCCATTTCCAGCCCACAATGTATCTGCCGGGACTCACAGCAAATGCAGCAAGCTGGAAAAACGGGCCTTATTCTGTCTCCCGAGGGGACAGAAAGGTGGAGGGACATGCCCAGGTCACTCTTGATAGGAGCAGTACCCCATTCTTTTTATATATATAATATATACTTATCGATTTCAGAGAGAAAGAAAAAGGGATATAGAGAGATAGAAACATCAATGATGAGAATCATCAATCTGCTGCCTCCTGCACACCCCCTACTGGGGACTGAGCCCACAACCCAGGCATGTGCCCTGACTGGAAATTGAACCGGGACCTCTTGGTTCATAGGTCAATGCTCAACAACTAAGCCACACTGACCTGGCAGTGCCCCATTCTTTAGACTGCAAGGCAAGTCCTCTCCCTGCCGCCGTAGGGGCTTGTTAAAAGCCCAGGTTCTTGCCCTGGCCCAGAAGCTCAGTTGGTTGGAGCATTGCTCATACACAAAAAGGTTGCAGGTTCAATTCCGGGTCAGGGCACATAGCTAGGTTTCGGGTTTGATCCCCAGTTGGGGTGTGTACCGATAAATATTTCAATCTCTCTCTCTCTCTCTTCCTCTCTCTCTAAAAATCAATAAAAAGATATCCTCAGGGAGGATTTTTAAAAAACAGCCCAGATTCTCCACCTGAGTCATCTGGCTCTGCCACTTATAGCTGCAAGGGCTCAGGCAAATTACCCAGCCTCTCTGCCTCCTGCAAAATGGGATAATAACAGGCTGTGGGGTCACTGTGTTTTCATTACACATAAAGCACTTAAAACAGCCTTGCATGTGGAACCACTCTGCCAATGTAAGCTATTACAGTGCTTCAGGAGTTAGTTTTTGTTTTTCTCTGAAGATCTTAAGGAACAAAGCTACTCCCAGCAATTCAAAAGGAAATTGCTTTCTTAAAGACTTTCTAGCTCTGGGGTCCCACACAACCTTCTACCAAAGCTTTGAAAGCCCAGGACGGGCAGGAGAGGCTCTGGTGCTAGATTCTTCCCAGCTCATTCCGTGACTTCTGACTCTTGTCCTTGGTGCCCTGAGGAGCTGAGCTGGGCCTACAAGCCCAGGAAGCAGTCTGTTGCAGGAGAGTGACCTACATTCTTCTTGCCAGTCCTGTGGGTTCTGACTATCACAGCTGAGCTGAAGCAGCCAAGGGCCCAGCTTCCCCAGTGCACTGAGGACCATCCCCAAGACCACACAAACCATGGAAGGCAGGTATGTCCCTGCCAGATCCCAGGCAGCCGCAGAGCTGAGCTCAGTTCCACCTGTGTCAGTGATCCAGGGTGCTTGATTGGTAGCAGGAGAAGCTAACAGCTACACAGGACTCACCGAGTCTGGAGAGGACATAGCCAGGTCACAGCAGCAGTGCTTCCACCCATAGTTCCAGGAGCTGTGCTTTTTTGGCCAAGAGTTATCTAGATGGCATCTCTGCAGAGTGTCCCATATCAGGACTTCTCTGCAGATGAGATGAAAATTCCTGCTCCAGGAAGGGAGCACCCGAGTGTCTCCTGAGCCCAGAATTGTTTAAGTCTCAGGTGCCCAAGTGCCTGTCTACCCACTGACCAGAACAACTGTGCCCAGCTATCCCTTACCCTCATTGCTGGAGCTGTGCATCTCCCTGCAGTAAAGATCAGGTGCAGGCCTGCATGAGCCACATTACTGTGGAGGCCTGGTCTTCGCTGCTGGAGAACTTAGAGGAGCCAAGTGGATGAGGGGACTCCTCTCTTTGCTTTCACCCCACCTGGCTCTGGAACACCTGCTTTTAATGTGGCCAGAGAGAGGCCTGTGATTTGCTTGTCAGGGTTAGGACATATCACTAAATGTCAAAGTTGGAAGGCTCCAAAGACCTTCTGTGCCCAAGCTTCCTTATGAACAATGAAGACACCAGGGACCACAGCAGGGCAGGGCTTGCTGAAATTCACAGACTGGCCCCATTCAAACTCCAAGGGAGTTCAAGTCCTAGAACTCCCAAGCCCCCTTCAGGTAGGTGAACTTGGCCTGCCTTCTGTCAGCTCTTTGCCTCCTCCCCTACCAGCTCAAAAGGGCATTGAAGACGTGGCCCCTCAGAGGATAGAGCCCATTGCTGGGCAGAGGGCTGGGGAGGCATCTCTACTGGTGCAACCAAACAGGCCTCCTTTCCCAGAATTATTAGCAACATCTCCCCGCCCCAGCACACACCAAAGTGATCCGCAAGCAGGCAGTGACCCCAGTGTGAGTGCACCCAACAAGTCACCTTTGATGGGGTGAGAGAGCGGGCATCTTGGCCTCTCACTCCAGGACCTCTGATTTTGCATTCAGACTCTTCTTTTTTTAAATGTGGTAAAATACACATAACATGAAATTTACCATTTTAATAATTTTTAGACATACAATTCAATGGCATTAAGTACAGTCACTATCTTGTGCATATATCTCTACTTTTTCATCTTTCCAAATTAAAACTCCATGCCCATTAAACAACATCCACTGTTCTGCTTTCTGGCTCTATGAATCTGACTTCTCTATTTCATATAAGTGGAATCATACAGTATTTGGTCTTCTATGACTGGCTTATTTCACTTAGGATAATGTCTTCAGTGTTGCAGCATGTCAGAGTTTTCTGCCCTTTTAAGGCTGAATGATACTCCATTATATGAATAGGCCACATTTTATTTATCCATTCATCTGTCAATAAACCCTTGGTTTGCTTCCACCTTTTGTCTATTGTGAATAATGCTGCTATGAATATGGGTGTACAAACATCTCTTTGAGTCCCTGCTTTCACTTCTTTGGGGTATATACCTAGAAGTGGAATTGCTGGCTATCCAAGATTCTTCCTGCCTGTAATTGCACCTGCAAAGAGCACACTGGATCAACAGCCAGAACCACTGGCAATGGGCTCTGCCCATGATCATTCTTTGTCCCTCCAAGCACACTCCTGGACAAATGTGGGAGCTTGTCAGGTCTATCCATGCCCTCTGAAATCAAGTACAAGCTGTGCCAAAGTAGGCTCGCCCTCCCCTCGGGATAGGCCTGCGATCTCCTAGGGCAGTGGGCAGTGGGAAAGTAATGCCCTGGGAGTCCGGAGCCCTGAGTTCCCACGGGGTTTGTCGTGATGGGTCCCTACTTCCTTCCCCTCTCTGGACTCTGCTCCCCTCAAGGATAAAATAATTGTTGGAGTGGGTGCCTGCTGAAGCCCTGCCAGCACTGCAATTCTATGACTCCAAGCAGCAACAACAATGCACCTCTCTTGAAGAACCATGAACAAACCCTGACAGACAGACTAATGGCAGTAGGGGACATCTAGAAGGTACTGCCAGCTGCAGCCTTGCACAGTCTGAGTCCCTGGGCCTGTTCCATGTGCCCAACCTCAGACCTCCAGCACAGTTAGTCGTCCTTGCCTTTGAGTGTGGTGTGCTAGGTAAAGCCCTGGACTTGGAGCACCCCTCCCTGACCCTTCTCGTTCTCATCCCCCAATTAGGGTCCTGAGGCAGTGCCAGGGACCATTTCTCCCAGGTGCAGCTCAGACCCCACCTCATGGAGGCTATGGTTAGAACCTAGACCAGGGAATGCATACCTTCAAGGTCTGCTCGTTCTGGTGCATGAGGTAGGCCAAGACGGCCGCGCAGCTGCGACTGATACCCAGGGTGGAAAATATCAGGATGACATTGCCAAGTTCAAGGTGGACATCTGCAAGAGGAAGGAAGGTTGGGGGGGGGGGGGGGAGGCCCCTTCCCTGTAGACCTGAGTTGATATAAGATGACTAGCCTTGGTGGGTCCAAGAGGGATTCAGAGCCAGTACACCATGTCCTAGGTAAGTCACATGACATCACTAGGCCACTGTTTTGTCACCTGGTAAATGGGGATTCTCAGATCTAGCTGGAAATTCAAGAGAATCACACCTGGGCATTCAGCATTATCATGCAAAGGCCTTTTCTTGGCTCTCCAGGCTTTCAGACCAGGAAGGTCTGCTACCAGTTGGCCTCCTTAGGTAGGAATGAGAGGATCGTCCCCCCCAGGGCACATGGTACTGACGGAGACAGTGTTGCTGGTGTGAAGCCTGGCTCTGCCACTCACTATTGTGGGGCTTGGGCATGTTACTCTTAGCTACAGTTTCCTCATCTGGAAAATGGGATAATAGTATTCTGCCTACCTCATAAAGTTTTGTGCTGTGCTTAGCCCAGTGCCTGGCACAGAAATGTCAGCTGTAAGCATACCTAAAATTACACTGAGTCTGTGTGTGTCTTGCCCAGTGAGGGATGGTGAGGAAATCTAAGCTGTCATCCTAGGCTGGTTTGGTAACCCCCAAGAACTGAAGATAACCATTCCTGTGCTGGAGCAGGACTCAGAGATGATTAAGGCCAACTGACTCATCATACAAATAAGGAAACTGAGGCATCAAGCAGTTAAGGACTGGCCCACGGCCACCCAGTAAGTCAGGGCTGGAGAGGGGGCCTCTGTGCCATAGAGCGCCACCATCCCATGGGACATGTGGCAAGTCTGTCTCAGCTACTACTTAAGTGATAGTTGCAACATCCTGTGAAAATAAGAGATGTTTGAGCCAAAATACCATCCTCTGCCCCCCTGTGCAGCGACTCAGGCGGGGGGCTGAGTTGGTGCCACGTAGGTAGTCCTGGCGAGGGGCCTCTGACCTGACTCAACCTCACTCACTCCAAGTATCTTACTCAACTAGGGCAATCCTGAGCCTGGGGAATGACTGAAAAATCTGCCTTCAATGAGGTAAGCCACTGTTGGGCACTGCTGTGCGTGGTGAGAGGACAGAGGGGCACTGGGCATACACAATGAAAATCAGGGAAGTCAGAAGCTCTGGAGCCTTCCTTCCACCTCATCTCGCTAACCAGACAAAAGGGCAGGAACAAGTCACCTCTGAGTCACCAGAGCACTGCCCAGAGCAGGCCTCCATGAGCATATGCACTCATGGTGGGGCCGCACCCTCATTTCAGTGAAGCCAGGCCCAAAAGGGCCCACCAGTCCAGCCAAGGCCACAACATAGGGTATTCGATCCAGTCTGGAGCTCTTATTTGGCCCTACTGCCCCGGAGGTAAACGCGGGCCTGCCCTGGAGAAGCACGCTTGTCTTGGGGTTGTCCACACCTGGTTGGGCATGTGCTGCCCTTTCTCTCCTGAGCACTGAGAGTCCCAATCAGGAAGAGGCATGTGGACGAGGTGCCACAGTCCCTGTGCCCCCTGGACATAGGCCAGTTGCTGCCTCGTTAGAGAATGCTCCCTACCAATGAAGTGACAGAGGTGGCGCAGAAAAGGGAAAATGAAGGCTTCCAGGGAGTCTTCTATCTGGATGTGCAGAAGCTTGTCAGAGTTACCTACAAAACTAAACAGAAGAAAAGCACAGGTAATTGGGCAGACTCACACACAGTCCCACTGTGGTGTCCTTGTTCATAGCAGCAGGACCATAGGGTAGGGATGCTAAGCTAGATCAGGGAAATGTGGGCAAGGACCTGAACCCCTGTCAGAAAAATAGCACCTACCTCATAGGAGTGGAGTATGGATTAAGTTAATTAATCTATATAAAGCAGTGATGGCAAACCTTTTGAGCTCGGCGTGTCAGCATTTTGAAAAACCCTAACTTAACTCTGGTGCCGTGTCACATATAGAAATTTTTTGATATTTGCAACCATAGTAAAACAAAGACTTATATTTTTGATATTTATTTTATATATTTAAATGCCATTTAACAAAGAAAAATCAACCAAAAAAATGAGCTCGCGTGTCACCTCTGACACGCGTGTCATAGGTTCGCCATCACTGATATAAAGCATTTAGCAATCTGCTTGGCAATAGTAAGTGCTCAGTAAATATGGCATTATTATTATTAACCAAACATGGTACTTTCCTAGAATACGCTACAAATAATAACATGAGGATGGGAGGAAATATGTCGTGATTTTGGAGAATGAGCCTGCTATGTTAAATGGAGAAAATAAGGTAAGGGGGTAGAGAATAGCGGGGTTGCTGTTTGAGATAGGGTGGTTAGGGAAGGCTTTACTGAGGAGGTGACACTTCAGCAGAGGCTTAAAGGAGGTGAGAGAACAAGCCAGGCAGTTATCTGAGGAAAGTGTGTTCCAGGTATAGGAGAATGGAAGTGCAAAACCCCTGACAGACAGTATGTTTAGTGTATCTGAGAAACAACAGGGAGGTCAGAGTGGCTAGAGTTTTATGAACATGGTGGAGGAGAGATGAGGTGTGTGACATGCTTAATGAGAGTGTGCCTGCAAGGAGCCTGGCCCTATGCCCTGAATGCTGTAAGCACTTTATAACGTTGTTTATGAAGACTATGGCCTACTGGTGACATTCAGTATGCAGACCACTGTGGCATGCAGAAAGTTCAGTAGATTCAAAAACAAAAATAGGCTGGTTTAATTTCTGTATGAGCACTTGCCATGACAAATACAAGCACAACGAACCATCCATCCATCCATCCATCTATCCATCCATCCATCTTTCCCTCTCCATCCATCTCTCCCTCCCTCCCTCCCTCTCCACCCACCAACCCATGCCCACCCAACCATTCTTCCCTCATAGACACTCACTCAGTGCCTATTGTGTGCCAGACCTTGGGCTGGACCCTAGTGGACACAAATATCAAATAGGGCCCCTCCCAGCTTCAAGGAGCTTCCAGTCTGATGGGGGAGGCAGACACATAAACAAATGGCACCACTCCAATTAGTTAGATGCTAGGATAAAGACCTGCACATGAAATGGGGGATATTTGCAATAGTGTCAACAATAAAACATTTTTAAAAGACCTGCACATGATATGTGAGAGGAGGAATAGGGAGGAGTCAAGGGAGCTGGGGAGAGTTTACAGTGGAGATGGCATCTGGGTGGAGAAGGTTGAAGAATACATGGCTAATATATAAAAATCAATTGGTGCGCTATCCGGCGTGGCTCAGTGGATAGAGTGTCAGCCTGCGGACTGAAGGATCACAGGTTTGATTCAGGTCAAGGGCATATGCCTTGGTTGTGGGTTCAATCCCCAGTGGGGGCATGCAGGAGGCAACCGATCAATGATTCTCTCTCATCATTGATGTTTCTATCTCTCTCCCTCTCCCTTCCTCTCTGAAATCAATAAAAACATATTTTTTAAAAATCAATTGGATTTCTATGTACTAGCAAGAAATAATCAGATATTGAAAATCTTAAAATATCACTTATAATCACATAAAACTTCAAATGCTTAGGATGAAATCTTGACACAAAATGTGCAAGAACTGTACACTGAAAACTATAAAATATTTCTGAGAGAAGTTAAAGCACAAAGTAAATGGAGAAACAGACCATACTCATGGATCAAGAGATTCAACACTGTTAAGATGTCAGTTCAATCCCAATCAAAATTCTAGCAAGCTTCTTTGTAGAAACTGACAAGCTGATTATGAAATTTATAGGGAAATGCAAAGAAAACAACTTTGAAAAAGAACAAGATTAGAGGACCTACACTACTTGATTTCAAGACTTATTATAAAACTACAGCAATCAGCAGTGTAGAACTGGTGTAAAGAAAAACATATACCACCCGGCTCAGTGGTTGAGCATCTACCTATGAACCAGGAGGTCATGGTTCAATTTCTGGTCAGGGCACATGGTTTGGCTGCATGTATGTAGTCAATCCCCAGTGTGGGGCGTGCAGGAGGCAGCCAATCAATGATTCTCTCTCATCATTGATGTTTCTATCTCTCTATCCCTCTCCCTTTCTCTCTGGAAAAAAAAAAAAAGAAAGAAAGAAACATATACCAATGAAAAATAATCCAGAATTTTTCATCTTGACAAGGATTTTCAATAAAGGTATCAAAGCAATTCAACAGGAAAAGGATCATATTTTCAACAAATGATTATATTATCTCCACATGCAAAACAACTAATGTTCCATTTCTGGCACCATACACAAAAATTATTTCAAAATAAAAACATGTGAAGGTTAAATCCATAAACTTTTAGAAAAAAATATAGAAGAAAATCCTTGTCAAAATTCAAGTGCCCAGTCTTAGCCTGTTTGCTCAGTGGTTAGAGCGTCGCCCACAGACTAAACAGTCACCAGTTCAATTCCAGCCCTGGACAGGGTGCATGCAGGAGGCAACTGGTCGATGTGTCCCTCTCACATCAATGTTTCTCTTTCTCTCTCTCTCTCTCTCTCTCTCCTCTCTCTCTCTCTCTCTCTCTCTCTCTCTCTCTCTCTCTCATACATTTTTATTGATTTCAGAGAGGAAGGGAGAAGGGAGAGAGAGACAAACATCAATGATGAGAGAGAATCATTGAACGGCTGCCTCCTGCATGCCCCCCACTAGGGATCTAGCCTGCAACCTAGGCATGTGCTCTTGACCAGAATCGAACCCGGGACCCTTCAGTCCGCAGTCCACTGAGCAAAACCAGCTAGGACCTCCCTCCCACTCTCTCTAAAAATCCATAGAAAAAATATCCTTGGGTGAGGATTAACAAAAATAAATTTTAAAAAACCTCAACTGTTCATGTATGCCTGGGCCTGTCTGAACTCTATTCTGCTCCCCTAGCTTATTTTTCTATCCTGCACCAATATCACCATCCTTACTTGCTGTGGTTTTTAAGTCTTAATATTTAGTCAAGTAAATTTTCTCATTTGTTGTTCTTCAAATATTCAGCTATTTTTGCCCTTTGCATTTCCATAAAATTTATAAATTTTAGGATTACTGTATCAATTTCCACAAACATGTTGGATTCTACTGGCATGACCCTGAACTGACAGATCATTTGGGCAGAATCAATTATCTTTACAAAATTAATTCTTCTAATCCATAACAACAGTACATCCTCTGTTTATTCAGATAATCCTATATAATAAAGAGAATAAAGAGCTAACATGCAATGGTCTCCGCGCCCTCGCTCCCTTGCCCCAGGGCCAGGGAACCTGAAACTGCCCCCTGCCCCTGCACTGGGCCGGGGACCTGAGGCCACGCCCCCGACCCAGCGGGGCTTGTATTATCTGCAGGTTGTTTTGGATTTTCTGTGTATACAATTATATTGTCTGTGAATAATGAAAGTCTTTTCCCTTTTGATTCATATTTTATTTTTCTTGCCATATTTCACCAACGAGGACCTCCAGTACAATGTTAAATAGGAGTGGTGATAGTGGCATTTTTGTCTTGTTCCCAGACTCAGAAGGAAAATTTTCAACATTTCACCATTAAGTGTGATGTTTGTTGCAGAGATTTTTGTAGTTATTTTATTCGAGCAAAGAAGTTTTCCTTCTATTCCCAGTTTGCTAAGAGGTTTTTTTTAAGTCATGAATGTATAGTGAATATTACCAAAGGCTTTCACTGAAGCTGTTGAGATAATCCTGATTTTTGCTCTATTTATTGATATGGTAAATTAACATCTTTGGAATAAACTCAATTTAGTCATTATGTATTATCCTTTTTATAAGGATATTAATGTATGTAATGTGCTAAGATTTTGTTTAGGATTTTTACATCTATGTTCATGAAGAAAATTAGTCTATAAATTTTCTGTATTATAATGTCTGTCAAGTTATAAAATCAGAGCTATGTTGGTCTCATGAAACAAATTGAAAATTATTCCTCTTCTTTATTATATAAAATAATTTAATATCGACTTTATTTCCTCCTTAACTATTAGGTAAAATTCATCACTAAAGTTTTCTCTATGAGAAAATTTCTATTAGTTATTAATACTAATCAGTTTTTCTATTTTGTCTGCTGTCAGTTTTGATACTGTATTTTTTAATGTTCATTTCATCTAAATTTTCTTGCTTATCACAGTAAAGTTTTCCTAATATCCTCCTAAGACCTGTTAAATATCTGTTGGATATATAGAGTCCCCTTTTACAAATGGTTATTTGTGCCTTTTCTCTTTTTTGCCAAGGGTTTATCAAATTTATTAGTTTTTTTAAAAAAACTATTTTGAATTTCTTGATCATCTCTATTTTATTGTTTCTAGTTCAATTATCTTCTTTTATTATTCCTTCCTTCTTTATTTGGGATTAGTTTACTATTCCCTTTGGGAATTTCTTGAGATGAATACTTAATTAGTTGATTCTTTATATTTACAATAGATTTTGTTGTTGTTGTTGTTAATCCTCACCCGAGGATATTTTTCTATTGACTTTTTAAAGAGAGAATGGAAGGGAGGGGGAGAGACTGCGAGAAACATCGATGTGAGAAACACACATCAATTGGTTGTCTCCTGATTGCACCCCAACCAGGCCCAGGGATCATGCCTACAACTTAGGTATGTGCCCTTGATCAGAATCGAACCCAGAACCCTTTAGTCCAGAGGCCAATGCTCTATCCACTGAGCTAAACCAACCAGGACTAAAGTATATTGTAGACAGCCTACAACCTCTGCCTTTTAATTAAAGTATTTAGACCATTTGCACTTAGTGTGATTACTGAATTTTTATATGACTCCATTTATCTCTTTTGTTATCTTACTAATCATATCTCTTTTATTATTGTTTTGTTCTATTTTTTGGTGGTTGCTTTAGAGTGTATAGAATGCATCTTTAACTTACTAGAGTCTACCTTCAATTAACATTATACCACTTCATGTAAACAGAGTAAGAACCCTCCAAGTATATAGTTCTATTTTCCCTCTTCCTGCCTTAGTAAATTGTGGGCATACATATTACTTCTCCCTATGCTATAAACACAAAATGTATTGTTATTTTGTTTTTAAATAATATGCTTTGAAAAGATTTACAAACAAGGGGAAAGTATTTTATATAATTACTAGAGGGCTGGTGCATGAAATTGGTGTACAGGTAGAGTCCCTAGGCCTGGCCAATAATCAGGGCCAATCTGTGGGACGATGGGGGGGGGAGGGCGTGGGGGAGGTGGGCACTGGCATTCACCTTGGCTGGCCTGGGGCCTGCAGGCTGGGGGCAGCTCCTGCATTGAGTGTCTTCCCCCTGGTGGTCAGTGAATGTCATAGTGAGGGGTTGTTCCACCAGTTCCACCATTTGGTCGATTTGCATATTAGGCTTTTATTATATAGGATCATTTCTGGTGATCTTGATTCTTTTTGTATATATTCAGATTGCCATCTGGTATTGTTTTTCTTTTACCTAAAAGACTCCCTGCAAAAAAAATAAAAAATAAAAAAAAAAATAAAAAATAAAAGACTCCCTGCAATATTTTTTGTAGTGTACATCTATTTGTTGATTAATTTTTTCAACTTTTGCATGTCTGGATAAAGTATTTTCTCTTCATATTTGAAAGATATTTTTTACTGGTTATATTTCTAGGTTCACACTTTCCATTCAATACTTTAGTTTTCTCAATTTCTTTGTTTCTAATATGAAGTCTGCTACCATCTTTATCTTTGTTTCTTGGTATGTAATACATCTTTTTTATCTAGCTAGTTTTAAGATTTTATCTTTTTCATTGATATTAACCAATTTGAGAGGATGTGCCTATTGTGGTTTTCTTTCTGTTGAAATGCTTGGGTCTGTGAATTTATAGGTGTTTTGTTTTTTTAAATCAAAATTGGAAAAAATTTTGGCCATTATTTCTTCAAATATCTCCCCACTTTCCTCTCCTTTGGAAATTCCAATTACACATATGGCAGTAGGCCACTTGAAACTATGTTAATCTCACTGAAGTTCTGTTCTTTTTTTAAATTATTTTTATTTATTTCAGAGAGAAAGGGAGAAGGGAAGAGCGAGAGAAACATCAATGATGAGAAAGAATCATTGATTGGCTGCCTTCTGAATGCCCTCCACTGGGGATTGAACCAGCAACCCAGGCATATGACCTTGGCCGGAATCGAACCTGGGACCCTTCAGTCCACAGGCCGATGGCTCTATCCATTGAGCCAAACCAGCTAGGGCAGTTCTGTTCTTTTTTGTCTTTTTCTTCTCTATGTTTTATTTTGGATACTTTCTATTGCTATATCTTCAAATTCACCAATCTTTTTTTCTGTAGTGTCTAATTTGCTATTAATTTCATCTAGAGCAGCGGTTCTCAACCTGTGGGTCACGACTCCTTTGGCGGTCGAACGACCCTTTCACAGGGATCGCCTAAGACCCATCCTGCATATCAGATATTTACATTACGATTCATAAAAGTAGCAACATTACAGTTATGAAGTAGCAACGAAAATAATTTTATAGCTGGGTCACAACATGAGGAACTGTATTTAAAAGGCCAGAAGGTTGAGAACCACTGATCTAGAGTATTTTTCATTTCTGGCACTGGATTTTTCATCCCTAATTTGGGGCTAGGTTTTCCTCATTACTGAGACAATACTCTTCTCAGTACTCTATTTGATGCCCTGTATATTATGAGTTTTGTCTACTCTGACTTGAAATACAAATGACTCCTGGCCCCACATCATCTCTGAGGATTGTACTGTCCATTAATTTCCACTGTTTTTTCTCCCAGCCTTGAGTCATTTCCTCACATGCCTGTGCTTATATGTACTCAGCTGAAGACACAGGGGGGCTCTCTGCAGATGTCCAGAGCCCTTTCTTTGTATTCAGCCCTCTATTTATCATGCAAGTCTCTCTTTAGAATTCTAGCCAACTTGACCTCTCTGGATTCTTGACTCTATCCTCAATTCAAAAAGAATGACAGGCCCTGGCCAGTGTTTCTCAGTGGTTAGAATGAGGGCCCGGACCCTGATCAGAGGCAACCAACTGATGTGTTTCTTTCACATCAATGTTTCTCTCTCTGTCTTAACCTCTCTCTTCCACTCTCTCTAAAAATCAATGGAAAAATATCCTCGGGTGAAGAATAACAACAAAAAAACAAAGAAAGAAAAAGAATGAGAAGATCTGTTTTGGTCCCCTTCAAACAATCTCCAAGAAGTAAGCTAAATTAATTGTAGGGCTCTAGCAATCTCCAAGAAATAAGCTAAACTGGCTGTGGGGCTCACTTTGTTTTTTTCCATTCATTCTGGAATCACTGTCCTGTGCAATTAACCACTGTCTGAAAAACACTGTTTTAGATGTTTTGTCCGTTTATTTGTTGTTGTAAATCTGACCCTGAGCTTGGAGCCTCATGCATGGGAGGCCCCAGAGAGTTCTCTTGCCCCTTCTACCATGTGAGGACACAGTGGAAATATGTCTGTCTATGAACCAGAAGGCAGGCTCTCACTAGACAGCAAATCCCTGCTGCACTGATCTTGGATATCCCAGTCTCCACACCATGATAATAAATTTCTGTGTTTTATAAGCCACCAGTCAATGGTATTCCGTTATAGCAGCCTGAATGAACTAAGATAGGAATTATTTCTCAGAGGGCCTGAGATGGCATAGCAGGGTAGAATAGGATATTTTGACCACAATGTTAAAAACCAGGAAAGTTTTACTTTTGGTGAGATTTGAAGGAAGTATAGGGTCTTGGTTAGGGGCAAAGGATGCCACAGCGAAGCCAGGAAACAGACTATACGCCAGGAACAGGTGAAGTTAAAAGTGAAGACCCTACTCCAGTATATGCTGTCTTCTAAGAGACCTTTCAACTTTCTAAATGCATGTCACCAGGAATCTTATATAAACAAATGATACTTAATGTTTAAAAAATCAATAGTATTGCTACTTACAATGGTCCTGTCTCCATGGAGACATTGACATGTGCTTTGATTTTCAAATCCTTCTGAATTTTAGGATCGCAGGCTTGCCTGAAATCTCCCAGGTAGATGCTTCCTGGCACTATTTCAACAGGGTATGCCTGAAATTCATCCAATTCCTGGGGTGGGGAAGGAGAGAGGTTGCTATAAATATTCCCCAGGGAAGTTTTTTTCATTTGGGGTTGGGGGTATTGGTCTCTTAAAATGTGGCTCAGCAAACACGCTTAGAAAGATCATCCAGGACAGTGAATGAAATTGAGATCTGGGGCATTCAAAGAGATTGGCAAGTAACAACTTGCATGAGGAGGTACAGGGCTGGTAGTAACATAGGACTGGGCTATAGCACAGCATCATGCTAAAGCATGCTGAATCTGAACATCAGCATCCTTCTTCCTTCCTTGGCACATGTTTGCATTTGGCCGTGGAGTCTAACACCCTGCGGCCAACAACTGCATAAAAAAATCAGCCCTTTTTAAAAAATACGTTTTTATTTATTTCAAGAGAAGAAGAGAGAGAGTGACAGAAACATCAATGATGAAATCATCGATTGGCTACCTCCTGCACACCCCCTACTGGGATCAAGCATGCAACCCAGGCATGTGCCCTGATCAGGAATCCAACTGTGACTTCCTAGTTCATGGGTAGATGCTCAACCACTGAACCACACCGGCTTGGAAAGAACAGCCCTTTTATTATACTCAGAGTCCATCAGAACTTAAATACTTAAAAAAAAACAAAAACCTCACAAGAGCCTATTTGTCATTAGGAAATGAATTCTGATGAAGTTCTGATGAGTTTTGACAGAGAGATAGGAAGAATAGGCTACCACTTAAATGGAAGCTTACTGAATTCCAGGTCCAAAGTTATAATAAGAAAAATTTTGGTTTCTTTGAAAAACAAAGAAACAAAGAGAAGGATTACTTCTACATTCCCCAAAGTGTAAGAAGCACTGGTCCCTCACAATGCACTGTGAAAAAAAGGCTTCAGAGAACCAAGTACATATGGGAAGCATATTCCTCTCAGAAACTCACCGTATACATTAGCAATGAAAGGTTCAAAGAAGTCTGGCAGTAAAGAAATCCACTAACTCCAGTCACTATGGGAAACAGTATGGAGGTTCCTAAAAAATTATAATGGAACTACCCTATGATCCACTAATCCCACTTCTGAGTATATATTCAAAGGAAACAAAATCACTACCTCAACGAGATATCTGCACCCAGATGCTCACTAGAGCATCCTATCTAATAAAAGAGTAATATGCAAATTGACCATCACTCCAAAACATAAGATGGCTGCCCCCATGTCATCAAAGATGGCCACCACAAGATGGCCAGTAGGGAGGGCAGTTGTGGGTGATCAGGCCAGCAGGGGAGGGCAGTTAGGGGCAACCAGGCCAGCAGAGAAGGGCAGTTGTGGGCGATCAGGCCAGCAGAGGAGGGGAGTTGTGGGCGATTGGGCCAGCAGAGGAGGGCAGTTGGGGGCTATCGGGCCATCAGGGGAGCAGTTAGGCATCAATCAGGCTGGCAGGGGAGTGGTTAGGGGTGATCAGGCTGGCAGGCAGAAGCGGTTAGGGGCAATCAAGCAGGCAGGCAGGCAAGCGGATGGGAGCCAGCAGTCCCGGATTGTGAGAGGGATGTCCGACTGCTGGTATAGGCCCGATCCCATAGGCAGTCGAACATCTCTCAAGGGGGTCCCAGATTGGAGAGGGTGCAGGCTGGGCTGAGGTACACCCCTCTAGTCCTATCTAATAAAAGAGAAACATGGTAGTTAGCGTAAGTCCGCTACCCTTCCCATTGGCTAATCAGCGAGATATGCAAATTAACTGCCAGCCAAGATGGCGGCCGGCAGGCAGGCAGCTTGAAGCTAACATGAGGCTTGCTTGCTTCAGTGACGGAGGAAACCAACATTCCCTGCCTGCCTTGCCGGCCTCTGAGCTTGCAGTTTGAAACATTGTTACAAATACAGAAGCTAAACAAAACCCCAGAAACCCGCTTTCAGCCCGCCGGGATCTCAGAGCTGGAGTTGATACAGTGTTTCGATTATAGAACCCAAAAAACCAGATACCTGCTTTCAGCAGCAGAGGCCTCAGAGCTGGAGCCAGAGCTAAAGCTGGCCCAGAATAAAAAAAAAAGAAAAAGAAAAAAAGGAGCGGTTGGGAGCTTCAGTCACCCGCCAGCCTGAAAACAGCCCTCAGCCCCTCACCCAGACTGGCCAGGCACTCCAGTGGGGACCCCCACCCTGAAGGGTGTGTGACCAGCTGCAAACAGCCATCATCCCCTCAACCAGGCTGGCCAGGCACCCCAGTGGGGACCCCCACCCTGATCCAGGACACCCTTCAGGGCAAACCAGCCGGCCCCCACCTGTGCACCAGGCCTCTATCCTATATAGTAAAAGGGTAATATGCTTCCCAGCACCGGGATCAGCGGAGCCGTGAGGCCTCCCAGCACCAGAATCAACGGAGCTGAGAGGCCTCCCAGCACTGGGATCAGTGTGACAGGGGGCAGCGCCCAAACCCCCTGATTGCCCTGTGGCTCTGTGTGTGACAGGGGGCGGGGCCACAACCTCCCTATTTGCCCTGCTCTGTTCGTGACAGGGGAAGGCACCCCAAACCCCTGATCAGCCCTGCTCTGTGACTGATAGGGGGGAGCTCCCCAACCCCCTGATCTTCCTGCGGCTCTGTGACAGGGTGCGGCGCCCCAACCCCCTGATCGGCCCTGCTCTGTGTGTGACAGGGTGTGGTGCCCCAACCCCCCCCACGGGCCCTGCTCTGTGTGTGACAGGGTAGAGCCATAACCTCCCCATCGGCCCTGCCCTGAGTGTGAGAGTGGCGGGGCCCAACCCCCTGATCGGCCCTGCTCTGTGGGTGATAGAGGGCGGCGCCCCCACTCCCCCTCCACGGGCCCTGCTCTGTGTATGATGGGGTAGAGCCATAACCTCCCCATCGGCCCTGCCCTGAGTGTGACAGTGGCGGCACCCCAACCCCCCAATCGGCCCTACCCTGAGCATGACCGAGGGTGGCATCGCAACCTCACGATCCGCCCTGCTCTGTGCATGACAGGGGGCGGCGCCCCAACTCCCCAATTGGCCCTGCTCTGAGCCCGACCAGGGGCTGCACCTAGGGATTGGGCATGCTCTCTGCCACCCAGGAGCAGGCCTAAGCCAGCAGGTCGTTATCTCCCAAGGGGTCCCAGACTGCGAGAGGGCACAGGCCAGGCTGAGGGACCCCCCCCCCCCACCCCGAGTGCACAAATTTTTGTGCACCGGGCCTCTAGTCTATATAATAAAAACCTAATATGCTAAGTGTCTGGTCATCCATTCAACCAATCAAAGCATAATATGCTAATGATATGTTAAAGCTGCTCAACCACTCGCTGTGGTATGCACTGACCACCAGGAGGCAGATACTCCAACCAGTAGGTTAGCTTGCTGCTGGGGTCTGGCCAGTTGGGACTGAGTGAGACTGGCCAGACATGCCCTGAAACCCTCCCATGATCCCTCCCTGGCTGGCCAACCTCTCACATCCCCTCCCCAGCTCTGATTGTGCACCAGTGGGGTCCCTCGACCTGGCCTGCACCCTCTCGCAATCCAGGACCCTCTGGGGAATGTCAAAGAGTCAGTGTCGGCCCGATCCCACAGGCCAGGCCAAGGGACACCACTGGTGCATGAATTCATGCACCGGGCCTCTACTTATTTATAATAGCCATATTTTACAAGATGGAAACAACTTAAGTGTCCATCAGTGGATAAGCGGATAAGGAAAATGTGTCACATGTATACAATTGAATATTATCCAGTCATAAAAAAGAAGGAATTCCTATTAATTTGCAGTAACATAGATGGGCCTTGAGAGCATTATGCTAAGTGAAATGTTTGATAGAAAAAGACAAATCATCTCACTTATATGTGGACATTTGCAAAACTCATAGAAACAGAGAGTAGAGGTGTGGTTGCCAGGGGCTGGGGCAGAGTAGAATAGGAAGATGTTGATGAAAGGGTACAAACTTCCAGATATAAGGCAAATAAGTCCTGAAGTTCTAATATACTGCATTACATACTTTAAAATTGCTAAGAGAGTAATTGCACACACAAAAAAGGTGATTTTGTTAGGTGATGGATGTGTTAACCTTATCATGGTAATAATTTCATAGTATATACATATATAAATCATCATGTTGTATACCTTAAATTTATACAATGTTATATATCTACTAGAGGCCCGGTGCACGAAATTTGTGTGTGTGTGTGTGTGGGGGGGGGGTTCCCCTCAGCCCAGCCTGCACCCTCTCCAATCCGGGACCCCTCGGGGGATGTCCGACTGCCAGTTTAGGCCTGATCCCTGGGGGATATTAGTCTAAGACATCCCTGGGATTGGGCCTAAACTGACAGTTGAACATCCCCCTCACAATCCAGGACTGCTGGCTCCTAACCACTCACCTGCCTGCCTGCCTGATCACCCCTAATGGCCTCTGCCTGCCAGCCTGGTTGCCCCTAACTGCCCCCCTGCCAGCCTGGTCATCCCCAACCTCTCCCCCGCCTGCCTGGTTGTCCCTAACTGCCCTCTCTGCCAGCCTGGTCGCCCCTGACTGCCCCCCTCAGCCGGCTTGGTCACCCCCAACTGCCCCCTTCCCCCGTGCTGGCCTGGTTGCCCCTCACTGCCTCCATCACTGGCCTGGTTGCCCCTCACTGCCCCCCTCTACAGGGCTGGTCGCCCCTCACTGCCCCCACTTGCCCCTGCCGGTCTGGTCGCCCCATGCAGCCTGCTGTTTGGGCATTCCATGAAGGCGTCCCAACCAATTTGTATATTACCCTTTTATTAGTAAGGATTACACATGAATAAAGCTTGGGGGATTAAAAATATGATAGTTACAAGGAAAGATTATTAGAGCGCCAATCACGTGGTTAGAAAAAAAATCATCATTAAATAATAAAACAAATTTTATAAACAAGTTGGAAAACAGCCAGAAAAGCATATCAGTCTAGATTTTCTATCAGCATGCTTTTCAAAGTGTGCCTGTTCTCAAAGTGTGCCTCCAGGGAACAGAGGGCTGGTGAAAATTTTCCTAATGGTTCCTTGGACTGAGCTTTTGTAGCTTAGATGTTTGTAATAAAACAGTGGCTACATAGTTATTGCTGGCATGAATTGAAAATGTACTTGTGATATTTAGTAAAATAAAACCTAGGCAAAACCTCAAAAAAAAGAAAAAAGAATTCCACTAACATTGTATAAACTGACGTTTCTAATATCTGTTAGGTCATAATTTTTCCATCAGTATTCATGGAAAATGCTGACCTATGTAACTTCAAAGGTCAAACCCAGTTCTAAAAACTCCTCTGGCTCTGAGTCTAACTCAAAAATAGCATCTTAAGTACCTAAGACTACTTCACTGTCCATGTCAAAGCCTTCTGGAATCAGCACATCTCCCCTCCCAGTGAACCCACTGTGAGCCCACATCCTTCCCAAGCTGTCAGCCTCAAAAAACTCTATCAAAGAACAGAGCAAATCCTCAAGTTTGCAAAAGAGATTCATGACTTTTTTACCTGCAGGGAGACCCGCTATCTGTAGATGTTGACCCAAAGCATCCCCAGGGCTCAGGCTGACTTCACTCACTCACTCAGGATGTTCAGCTTGCTGGAGCCAAATGAAATCCTAGTTCCATTTAGAAAACCTCACTAAACACCCATCACAAATCTATCAACTCTCTTTCTGCTGCTTTCAAACCAGTTTCCTTCCTTTCTTGTGCCTGTGCAGGCTGCAGGGGAAGAGGGTGTGACATGGATAAAAACATGCTGTGCTGTAAAGAGCAAGCACATGTTAATTCTAAATGACTTAATTTTGATAGCCACATCAACAAATGCAAAACAAACAGATATCTACCCTGGCTGGTGTGGCTCACTTGGTTGAGCATCGTCCCATGCACGGAGAGGTTACTGGTTGATTCCAGGTCAGGGCACATGCCCAGGTTGTGGGCTCAATCCCCAGTAGGGGACGGACAGGAGGCAGCCAATACATGTCTCTCCCTCTCTCTACCTCTCCCTTCCTCATTCTCTAAAAATCAAGTATATTTTAAAAAATAAAATAAACAGGTATCAAATTAACATGTCCAAACTGAGCCCACTGCTTTCCTCCCACACTGCCTCCTTCTCCTGTGTCCACCACCTCAATGAGCACACCACAGCCACCATCACCCACACCTAAACCAGGCATTATACTAATCTCCTCCTCCTCTCCCATTGCCTCCCTCCATATTTTTTAAAATATATACTTATTGATTTCAGAGAGGAAGGGAAAGGGAGGGAGAGATAGAAACATCAATGATGAGAGATAATCATAGATCGGCTGCCCCCTGCATGGCCCCCACTGGGGATCAAGCCCGCAACCCGGGAATAAAACTGTGACCTCCTGGTTCATAGGTCCACCCTCAACCACTGAGCCATGCCAGCCGGGCCCCCAACTCCATATTAAACAATGCCACTTTCTAAGTATTTCTTGAATCCATTCTCTCCTCTCCATCCCCACCTCCTAGAAGGTCTCTCCAAATCCACTCTGTCCCCACTGATCTGCTCTCTGCACTGCTGAGTTGATCTAAGTGCAGTCTGACCATGCTACCCCAAATGTAAAAATATTCAGTAGCTTACCATCATCTCTCTCTAGTGTGGCCTACACACTCCTTTTAGTCACAGAACTCCTTTACTCAAGGTGAAATCTTATTTAAGGGTTGCCACATGTAAAACAGGAAATTATAGGTCACTCTGCCTAAGGTGGAGGGGCAGTCTCAGAGCCTAAATTTGGTTTCTCCATCTCCATTCATAAAAGGAGTTCCTTGGGAGCAAGGACACCCCTGCTTTACAGTGTAGCAGAACAATAGCAGGAAGTGGGTGGGGCTTTCATTCTTGCTCCTGAATTAATAACTGAGCAGGAAGAGACAAGCAGTAGGCACCTACATTCTGGAGAAGACCACACACAATTAGGGTAGAACTACGCACCAGGCCCTGATAGCTACCATCAGCCACCACCCCACCCCTCTTCCCAATCTATAAATATAAGGCAAGTCACAGATGTACATACATGTCAAAACTCACCACATTGTACATTTTAAACATGTGCAGTTATTCCTATGTCAATTATACCTTAATAAAACTTTAAAAGGGGAGGGGCAATGAGTTATCAGCAGTGTCATGTGTGTAGAGAAATACTGCCTCTGAACACTGCAAAGCCAGTAGGCGGTGCTCCTCTAGGAGTGAGGAGTGTCTGTAGGATGCGGAGATTGGCTATACACCTGTTGAGCTGAAAATCACAGTGTGGTTACCTCCATGAAAGTACAGAAGATAGTCCTTTGGAGAGCTAGATTTGGGAACAGGTATGACCTCAGACATGGGTCCTCACCTTTTGCACAGGCTGGTTGGAACTGCCAAGTCGGCAAGGCAAGGAGAAGCTACAGTGATCACAGTCCCTTGTGGCTCATTCGGGAATTCGGGTGAAGGATTATGGATGGATGGGGGGTCATGGGCTACCAAAGGAAGGAAAAGGTTGGGAATTAAGGGTATTCCTGGCTTAAAATCTCAGCTGGCTTTCTCTCTGAGGAATCTTCAATAATTAACAGCCCTCCTCCCCAACAAAGCTCCAAGGAAACCGGCAACAAAGGCCACCAGCAACACACAGAACCAGGTGAAGTCAGAGTGAGAAGAAGGCACCTCCCCTCCACCGACAGCAGCCAAAGGGGCCAGGCCCCGAAGGCTGGAAGAGAGGAGATGTCCGTGAAGCTAACCCACACCCTTCCCCACTCTCAGCCCCCAGCAAACCCAAGGCTGCCCAATTCTGGGAATGGGAAGAGATGAGATTTGGTTTGAGATTGGAATGTTTAACCAGCCTAGCTTGTACTAGACTGACTGTCCTTATTCCCTTTTAAAAATTATTTCAAAAATACACAAAAGTAGAAAGAGCAGTGTAATAAGCCCCTAGATCTATCACCCCTCTGCAAACATTATCAACTAATGGCCAATTTTGTTTCATCTATACTGACTTCCAACCAATCCCAGATTATTTTGAAGGAGATCTCAGACATCATATTATTTTACCCATATATATTTCATTATGTCTCTCTAAAAGATACCAACTCATATTTTAAACTTTTTAAAAAATATATTTTTATTGATTTTTTACAGAGAGGAAGGGAGAGGGATAGAGAGGTAGAAACATCAATCAGCTGCCTCCTGCACACCTCCTACTGGGGATGTGCCTGCAACCAAGGTATATGCACTTGACCGGAATCGAACCTTGGACATTTCAGTCCGCAGGCCGACACTCAATCCACTGAGCCAAACTGGCTAGGGCCCAACTCATATTTTAAAAAATATAACCATAATAATGTCATCACAACCTAAAGAAAACACAGGGTGGCCCTAACCGGTTTGGCTCAGTGGATAGAGCATCGGCCTGCGGACTCAAGGGTCCCAGGTTCGATTCCGGTCAAGGGCATGTACCTTGCTTGCGGGCACATCCCCGTAGGGAGTGTGCAGGAGGCCGCTGATAGATGTTTCTCTCTCATCGATGTTTCTAACTCTCTATTCCTCTCCCTTCCTCTCTGTAAAAAATCAATAAAATATATTAAAAAAAAAAAAGAAACACAGGGCAAAAGTTTACAGTTGTGAGTATACAAAACAAGAGTTTATTCTTGTATTATTATTTATTATTATTTTCCATACAAACTATAAACCTACTTTTGTCCTACCCTGTATAATAATTCCTTACTATTATCAAATGCCCAGTTAATATGCACATTTCTCAAATCGTTTTATGACTAAATTGAAATTTTTCATAATCGAAAGAGGCCACAAAGTATGGAATCTCCACAAGATGGTACTAAGGGCAAAAATGAGAGCACAGCTAAAGGCAATTACTGAAAAGAATGAAACCCTTAGATGTTTGCATTCCACTGCAGTCAGATTCCTCAATAAACCAGGTACTGCACAATGCCGCCTAGGGATGGATGCCTGCCTGCCTGCCAATCATGGCTATCCAATGCTTGCTTTACATGCCCTCACCCCTCTTCCTCACAAGCTCCTCCTCCTTTAGATTTGGCTCCAGAAGGTAGTGCCTCTCCTCTGGGCTCCATATACACCTCGTGTGCCTCTTGGCCACACCCCTTGACTCCCCTACTAGATAAGAACTTCTCAAAGGCAGGGACTGCTTTCTCACCTTTTTGTATCCTCTGGACCCAAAAGTTAAGAAAGTTGAGGCAGCTTGAATCATGACAACCATCCCTGCCTTTCTGACTTTGACTATAACCCACAATCCAGAATTCCCCTGCCTTTTGAATAGGCCTCATCTTTTAAACTCCATGTTGGCTTTTCCCCAAATGTGACAATTATAAATTCATAATCTTGGACTGGACCTCCTGGCTACCCCAAGTTCATTTCCCAAGCCCAGCCTTCAATATTTTTTCCATCTTTTCCATGTTGTCTCTCTCCTCTTTCTCCTACCCTGTTCCCCAACCCATGGTTTTCAAGGGAAGGCCATGCTCCCATCTGAGCCTGCCTGTGTTCAGCACCCTGCCTTACCTGCGGCATCCAGATGATCTTCTGCGTCCGGAAAAAGTGGTACTTGGCTGAGAAAGACTCATAGCCCCCTCTCAGGATCTGGACGGGGTGGCGGGTGAGGTGAGCTAAGGCTCTGCCACATTCAATGGCAGGTCCTCCGGCAAACAGGTCTAAGAGTGGAGACCAAAGAAATGAATGTCTCCTGTGTTCCCCATTTGTCAAAAGTTTCAACGAATGGCCACTTTATTCTGAAAAGCAATTATCTAGGAGGCTGAAGCAAACATAGATATGGGTGTTACAATTAAAATGTAAAAGCAACTTACTATCAAGAAAGTTAATCTTTTTCTGTAAATATATATAGTATTATATATTGTATGCCACATTATATGTACCATACAAGTCACCTATTTGTACAGGGTACAGCTAGTGTACAATTCAATGGTTTTTAGTTTAGTCACAGAGTTGTATAATCATCACCACAATTTTAGAATATTTTCATCACCCAAGAAACCCTGTACCAGGGAGAGGGGTTCACTCCTCATTTCCCTCCAAAGACTCAGCTCTAGGCAACTGCTAATCTAACTTCTCTATGGATTTACCTATTCTGGACATTTCATATAAATGGAATCATACATTATGTCTGACTTCTTTCACTTGGCATAATGTTTTCAAAGTTCATCTATGTTGTAGCACATGTCAGCATTTCATTCCTTTTTACAGTTGAATAATATTATATTGTGTGGCTCTACCACACAATATAATATTCATAATCCATTCATAAATATTGGTGGATGTTTAGGTTGTTTCCACTTTTTGGCAATTAGAAATAATGCTGCTATGAACATTCATGAGCAAGTTTTTGTGTGCACATGTTTTTATTTCTCTTGGGTACATTCCTAGGAGTGAAATTGCTGAACCATGTAATAACCCTACATCTAACTTTTGAGGAAAGTGCCAAACTTTCCACAGCGACTGCACCATTTTACATTCCAACCAGCAGTGTATGAGTGTTGAAATTTTTCTACATCCTCGTCAACAATTGTCTTTTTTATTATAGCCAACCTAGTGGGTGTAAAGTGTTATCTCATTGTGATTTGTGGTTTTTTTAAATATATTTTTATTTATTTCAGAGAGGAAAGGAGAGGGAGAGAGAGATAGAAACATCAATGATGAGAGAGAATCATTGATCAGCTGCCTCCTGCAAGCCCCACACTGGGGATTGAGCCCGCAACCTAGGCATGTGCCTTGCCTGGAATTGAACCCGGTACCTTTCAGTCCACAGGCCGATACTCTATCCACTGAGCCAAACCGGCCAGGGCCTCATTGTGGTTTTGACATCAATTTAATCTAAAATGCTTTCATTGATCTATAGATTCACTATTGGACAATATGCAAATTAGATATATGTGGTAGGAAGTTTGTATAATTAAAACTAAGCCAAAATATTCCAAGGCCAGGATCTGACCGCTAAAGAGAAATACTGTGCAGCAGACTCTGGAAAGTTAGCTAAAGGAGAAAGGGATGGGCATGGACTCTGACAGCTATAATGAACCTTTGTCCAGGGAAAGGAGGCCAATTCCAGCAGGGGCTGCTGAGGACAAAAGCCGCTTGAGACCCATCTGGAGAAACTGTATTTGGGGAAAGAGCCTGCAGACAATAGCAAGGCCAGGAGGAAACCTGTAGCTGGCAAAACAGGAGCCAAAGCCCACCCCTGAGGGCCTGACTTGGATGCCAGAGAGCCCTGGATCTCCCAGGGTCTCACAGCCCCATCTCCCTCTTGAGTAAGAGACTGATGGGGTAGGTCAGAGGGTCCAGGCGAGTTAGGGAGAGAGTTCCAGGCCACTACTGCCTTTAAACCAGACAGCTGCTCCCCTGCCAATGTCACACAACCAGCTGGAGTATTCACATACAGGGATGATGGGGTTAGAGATGGAGGAAGGCCAATTTCCAGGAGATAATTAGAGACTCAGACAGAAAGCCAGGGCCCAGGTATTCCAGCAAGGATGTAATGGGGTTAATGTTTTTGAAACATTAAAGTTGTTCATTTCGCCCTAGCTGGTTTAGGTCAGTGGTTGGAGCATCAGCCTGTGGACTGAAGAGTCGCAGGTTTGATTCAGGCCAAGGGCACATACCTCAGTTGCAGGCTTGGTCTCCAGCCTGGTAGGTCGGGGCATGTGCCCAAGGCAACCAATTGATGTGTCTCTCTCACATTAATGTTTCTTTCTCTCTGTCTCTCCCACTCCCTCCATTCTCTTAAAAAAAAAAAAAAATCAATGGAAAAAATATCCTTCAGTGAGGATTAACAACAACAAAAAAAAATGTTTTTTTTAATTTGTTCATTTCTATTCTCATTAATCTTGAGTTCTCCATTGACATGAGGTTTCTCACACCTTGAACTGGGTCACCCACTGCTTCAAGGGGAGGAGGGCAACCACCTGGTACAAGGGAGTCATCACTTAGCATGACCTTTAAGTTAAATTATTTGAGGTCCCTAGCCAAACAATTGTCTTGAAAGTCAGATTGTGCTGAGGGAGGAGGAAAGGAATCCAAAAATTCCCAAAGCTTCTCTTCACAGTTGGTGTAAATGTCCTGGTCCAGGGAGCTCCACCCACACATATCATGAGTCCATTGTGGGTGTCTCTAATCCATGTTTGCAAGGAGGATTTAACATAAGGGAAATGTTGCTCATACAAGAAGGGGGCTGCCCTTTGCATGCTAAAAAGAGCTTAGAGAGAGCATCCTAGGGACTAAGACAAGGGAAGATACTTCCTGGATTCCTAAGAAGACACCCAGCTGAGGGGGGTAGAGAGCTAAAACCAGCTGTGCCCCATTTCCCACTAGGATTCTGAGACTCCCGCAGCAGAGGTGTGGAGTGGTTAACCTAACATTGGAAGCTGCAGCAGGCCCAGGGATGAGCACGTGTGAAATGTCAGGGAAAGCCTGGATAGGAGGGCACAAGGCTGAGTCCCCAAGGATCCAGCGCCATGCACTGACAAGGCGAAGGGAACCACTCATGACTTAACGCTAGACGTGGACATTTTGGGCACAGCCCGTGGCCTAAGGCCCCACAGGCTGGGCTGCACCTCTTCCAGAGGTCAGCAGAAAAGGTCTACATAGAGACCAACACCTGCTTCGAGGATGTGATGAAGGTTCCCCCTCAAGGAAATCTTTCCCAGAATTTCTTGAGGGTCAGGGAGGTGCGTACTTAACAGTGGAAAGGAGAAAGGGGTAGTGAGAGAAACCTTGATATGGTCTTCTACCCCAAAGACTGAATTTACCTGAAAGATGCCACTTTAAAGGAGAAAAGTTGCCTTGAGTGGGCAAGGTGTGTGCATGTGTGGTTTTGGTTTTTATTGTTTTGCTGTTATTTTGTGATTGTAGTTACCTACTCAGTGAGAACAGGGGCTGCATAGCACGGTGAGGTCAGTTATAGAATGTAGAGAGGGTTATTTTTATTGAGCACTGTTCCCTAGGGTTTCAGGGTCCAGCCTACAATCCCAGGATTGGCAGACCAGACCCACCTTCATAGGAATGTACTGCAGACTGTGAGAACTTGGGGAAGATAATTTCCTGGCTAAGGACCTCCTGGGAAGACTGGCTTTATTAAAGGTGGAAACCTAGTGCCACCCAGTGACCATTTGTGTGAATGCCCCAGCTCATAGACCCACCTACACATAGTGACTGAGCCACAAACAGCAGAGCCCCAAGTCAATGGCCAGGGGCGGTCAGCCCAAAGCAGTGGCTGAATGGAGATTGCTGTGGAACATCAGTAAAGCACATTAGAACCAATCACGTTTTAATGCTCCAGCTCAGGGCTTGAGTGACTTTGCATTGTTTTCCAACATCACTATTCAGGCCTTAGCAGACTGGACAGAGCCAAACTGCCTAGGTTTGAATCCTGGGCCCACCACTTACTAGGTGTGGTTTTTTTTTTTAAAAGTCCACAAATTCTTTCAAATGCCTCCCTTTAAAAGGTTGAGTCTAATTCCCCTCCCCTTGAGGGTAGACTATACTCAGTGACTTCCCTCTAATGAATAGAATGTGGTGGAAGCAACTGTGTTATAAGCCCCAAGACTAGGTCATAAAAGACATGTGGCTTTCCCTTTCTTTCTCTCTTTCTGATCACTCACTGGGGGGCGGGGGTACCAGCTGCCATGTCACGAGGCCATGCAAGCAGTCCTATGGAGAGGTGTATGCGGTGAGGAACTAGTCTCCTACAAACAGCCGGAATGAAACTGAGGCCTCCTGGCTATAGCCATGTGAGAGAGTAATCTCAGACGGAGATCATCCTGGCCTAGTAAGACCTTCCAGTGACAGCAATCTTGGCTGACACCTTGACTACAACCTCAGGATAGACTGTACCAGAACCTGCCAGCTAAGCTGCTGCTCAGTTCTGGACCCACAGAAACTATGAGATAATTACTGTTTGTTATATCCAGCTACTGAGTTTGGTGGTAGTTTGCTATATGGCAATAGATCATTCTCTAGGTGTGAGATCTTGGGCAAGTTACTTTGCCTTTCTGGGCCCTAATTTCCCCATCTATAAAATGGGGATGTTACCTTTTATGAGACAATTCTCCATGGTCTCTCACATCTTGACATGTCCTTTAAACAAGGCAGTGGCTTTTCAAGGATATTTATATAACCAACAGCTTTAGAAGATAGACTATTTTTTCCTCCGGAGCCAAGGATGGGTAGGCTTCTGCCCATTATAAAAGATTCAGGCCCCCTAAGCTCAGAGTTCTTCTAAAATACAATGCACTACATGAATAAGTGTACTTGGCTGCCTTCATGTCACCCTGTGAGAACTGAGACTTGGGCACCAGTGCAGGAAAATGAAGACATTCTGGTTATTTTTAATTGCTCTGAGTAATAAAGTCCTTTGTCTCTGACCCAGGAGCCTCATGTCTTCAGCCAGCATCTCTGAAATGGTGGCAGGTTCAGAGCTCTTCCCAGTTCTTCATATTGCCATCCTCATAGGGAGGTACTGCAGACTGCAGGAGTTGACCCAGGGAGAGCACCTGACATGGTTCCTGGCATGTGTCAGAAGTGTTGAATAACTGTTAACTTATTCTATGGCTAGTGTAAAACCTACCGTTTTTACTACTGTCAGAGCTGTCACTGTCATCTTTTATAATTAGGTCCAGGCAGCTGGAATTTTTATCATACACCACACAGTACTTCACACACTCTAGATCCACAGACTCCGGGATAAGATATTCATCTGCCTCCTAAAGAAACCACAAGAGAAGCTTGTTGGCAGGTGGGTTCAGATGAACAAATATTCCCTGCACACCAGCACCAGGAGGAGCTGGAGGTAGGACTGTGCCTCTTTGCCTGACTGCACATGGGCACAGAGACTGGAGAGTCTACTAAATTCCAATGATCTTCCACACCTTCATCCCCTGCTATGAAAAGCTGACCACAGTGGACTGGACCAGAAATAAGTGCCTGGCCAAAGAACAGCCTGCCTACTGACTCACCAACTGAACTAACATACCCTATCTCTGGGGGCAAGTGGTTGTTGATAGGGGCCAAAGCCAAAATCCCTCATAAGAACATTTGAATAAGCAGAAGTCATAAGCAAGCAGATAAAATGAGGCCAACTGTAAGCTCAAATATAAGCTTTGTGAGAGCAGGAACACTGATGTACCCTGAATTTCTAGAACAATGCCTGGCACGTTAGGCCATAAATATGGTTAAAGGAAGGAATGGGCAAACAGGTCCATGAGGTCATGAAGAGTAGTTCGGAAGTGGTTGAGTCACCATCATGGTGGACACAAGGGCAGGAACAACGGGTGCCTTCTGCCCACAAGGGAATGAGCTCTCACAGAACCAGACCTTCCTAGGATCCCAAAGGGAATTCCAGAGCTCCAGAGACCTGGCAGGGCACCTGCCCGGAGGTTAGACCTCATTTGTTCTCAATGCTTCCCGAAAGTCCCCACTAACTCAGGGGAACCTGAGTCTTACTCTGTCCCTTGGGACTAGTCTGGTTGACATAGAGGCCCTGACAGAGGACCTGCATGTGGGCTAGGACTAGTACACATCTACTCTACAAGGCAGAGAGATAAAGCCCATACAGGTACCGGGAAGTTCTCTGTAACTTGAAGGGGAGAAATCGTATTTGTCTACAGGAACTGGCAGACCGTTGGTGCTCAGATTATGAGCAGGATTCATTCAGGAAAGGGGGGTTCTGGGTGTGGAAAAGAGCATGAGCAAAGGGAAAAGTGGAGCAAATGGGAGAGCAGGGAGAGATGTGGCTGGACATTCATCCAGTTATTCAATAAACATTCACTCAGAACCTACTTTGCACTTACACTGTAGGTTCTGGAATACAGAGATTTTTTAAAATACGATTTTATTGATTTTTCAGAGAGAGAAGAAGGAAGAGGGAGAGAGACAGAAACATTGATGAGAGAGAAACATTGATCAGCTACCTTCTGCATGCCCCCTACTGGGGATTGACCCCACAACCCAGGCATGTGCTTTGACCTGGAATTGAACCAGTGACCTCTTGGTTCATGGTTCGATAAAAAAAAATTTTTTAAGAGAAATTGCCTGAGTTGGTCTGGAGGGCTCAGAAAGGAGCACAGGGCAGGAGGCATTTGAGATGAAGCTGCAAAGGCAAATGGAAATTTGCCAGCTGGACAAGGACTGGAGGGGTGTTTGAGGCAGAAGGAACAGCTTCCAGTCATTCCCTTTAGTCAATAAAAAGCTACTGAGTACCGACCTGATGTCGGGAACCAGACAGAGCATCCAGTATGCAATGATGAACAACACATACTCCCACTCTGGACTCAGAGAGAGCAGATGTGCAGAGATCCGCATGGACTCTATTTCCTAGATCTTAAGAGACCACTGGTTGTAGGATGCACCACCAATTTAACAACAGTTGCAATCAGGAGTGTACATAAAAAGAGGGATTTATTGGCATATAACAATACTCCAGGTAGGGCAGGGAGCAAGTGGTCCCAAGTAAAGCCTGAGCCAGGGCTCTAAAGCCCAGACCTCCCTCTCAGGCTCCACTCCTCTGCTTCCCCTGCACACTGACTTCACCTTCTCAGACAACTTTTCCTGAAGCCCAAGTCATGGCCACCAGCCATAGCGATGCTCAGACTCCAATCCCCCAAACTTCATTACCAAAATAGAAAGAGCTGCCTTCTTTAATTCCAATTCTAAGCTGTTCAGTTTTTATCCTTGGCTGATTTGTGGCCAGGGTTTGGATACTATTGTACTGAGCACCACTAGACCCCCCTGGTTTGAGCAGGGAGAGAAGTTCCCCCTCAAAAAAGGGCGGGGTGAGGTGGAGTGCCAGGCAGAAAATAATAGATGTGTTTTTCAGGCAAATCAATTGTAGGATACATTCCAATTTTAGAAATGTGAAAATATGGGGGGCTGGAGGTATGGGCATCTTAGAACCAAGGAAATGCAGCAGGACAATGCTATTGAGGTGTTAGGTGAGAGAAGCATGCTGGAGATAAGGCTGGAGAGGGAGGTGCATCAGGTAGAGAGGCTCCGTGTCCTACGAGGCTGGGAGTTCCCTAAAGGCGCAATCTACTGGAAAAAACATTGGTGAAGGGAGGCAAGAGGTGTCAGTCTGCCTAAGGGGTTCTGAAGGGCTGAGATAGAGAGAATGGCTCTTTTCCAGAGTTGGGGGTGCTACAGAATCAAAGGGACATGCACACTTGAGAGTTGAGTTGAAAACTGAAGGCCATGCATCTTGAAGGGGCTCTGAATAGGCTACAAAAAGCAAAGAAGGAAATGCAGGGGATTTAGAGCTGGAGGAATGGAGACAGGGAGTTGAAAATCCAAGGGCAAAAAAACAAATAGAAAAACACACCAAAAAAAAAAAAAGATAAAGATGGATTGTGCTTGGGAAAGCATGTTAGACAGTAAGCTTATCCTGGAAAAATACATGAGCCAGGGCCCATGCTCCCTGTCGAGTTATGTCTGGGAAAGAGCTAGAGTTAGAATTACCAAAGTGGCAGTGGGACAAACTTTTAGAAGTAAAATTGACAGGACAGTTCAACTATGTGCATACTTGAAGCTGGAAGCTTGGGTAAGATCTTTTTTTTAAAAATATATTTTATTGATTTTTTTGCAGAGAGGAAGGGAGAGGGATAGAGAGTTAGAAACATCGATGAGAGAGAAACATTGATCAGCTGCCTCCTGCACACCCCCTCCTGGGGATGTGCCCGCAACCAAGGTTCATGCCCTTGACCGGAATCGAACCCAGGACCCTTCAGTCCGCAGGCCAACGCTCTATTCACTGAGCCAAACCGGCTAGGGCTTGGGTAAGATCTTTGAGCAAGAAAATATACTAATAGATCTGAAGGAGACCAAAGATAGCCCAGTGGTTTTCTTTATAGGTAGCAGAAGGAGAAAATGAAGCTGAACCAAGGAGACAGAGAAGGAACCCGGGAGGCAAGAAAGAATCTGGAAGTCAAGGGCAGAGAATGTGGTCAGGACTGCAGAGATCAGAGATGGATCCTGAGTGAAGGCTGCCAGGCTTGACAATGTCTTGAGAAAGAAGATACCCCGTGGAGGTAGAGAAAAGGGCCTCACTCCCGGAGTCGGGCATGGTGACTGCTGAAGAAGGGCTTTGGCTTTTTAAATAGTTGGAATGGAGAAAGGAAGATGGGAAGGGATCTGATGGAAATGGGAGGGAGCTGTTTCAATCTTTGAGTTACAGTAAACATATGGTTTATTCCCCAAGTAAAATAAACCATATTGGATAAATGTATATGGAACAGACTCTCTTCTGGTCTGTTCCCTAAGTAGAACAAAAGCTCTGAGAGGGCAGGGACAATGAATTAAGGGCATCTTGTATTTTGTTCTATAGCCAGGGTCTGGAACAGTGCCTGGCACATAAAGGAATTAAATCAATATTTGTTTGATGAAGCTTTTGACCATGGTGGTAGGAGGGACACCCTAGGGAGTGTGTGAGACCCTCATGTTGGATGCACAAGGGTGGTCCTGCCTCTGCTGCCCAAAGTGTCCAACAGTAGATGCCACCTCCTGGATCTAGGATAAAACTTCCCACTCTTCCCATCCTCTGTAAGACAGCCAACCTGCCCCAGATTCTGACTCTACCAGGATACCTTCTTCACTCGACGGGCTGTAATCACATGGCTTTCATCGTACTCCTGTTTGGAACGCACATCTGAAAAGGAAGAGTATTAACTAATAACTGTATTTGCAAAAGAGCACATGACCAAACTACTTAGAAAATTCACATCATCATCATCATCATCATCATCATATATTTGTTTGGCTGGTAAGTGATAGCTACTGTCAGCTTAAAACTCAAGGTGTTGTTCCACTATTCTGAGCTGCCCACACCAAGACTCACCTGCCCCATTACAACCACACATCCCTTTAAGGGGTAGTGAGACCTTGTATCTTGATTTAGGGGCAGTTTTCTCTGAGGCCCAAAAAAATGAGGAGGGGAGAAATTAAAGCCAGGGTGAGCGCATTCTAAGTGCCCCCATGGGATTTTAGACCCTAGAACCTAAGAGCTAAGATTCTAATGCTCCTGCAAGGACAAAAGGTGCATTATTGATGCTCCTCAAAGTTGGGGGAACATGGAACAGAAATTAAGCCTAATGCATAAATGCTACAAATGACTGTTATCCAAAATATAGAGTTCCTAATGTTCAACAATAAGAAAACAAACAACCCAATTAAAAAATGGTTAAAATATATGAACAGACACCTTACCAAAGAAGCTATACAGATGGCAAATAAGCAAATGAAAAGATGTTAAACATCATATGTCAGAAGGGAATGGAAAATTAATACAACACTGAAATACTACTTCACAGCTATTAGAATGTCAAAAATCCAAAACATGGACAACACCAAAGGCTGGTGAGGGTGTGGAACAACAGGCACTCTCACTCATTGCTGATGGGATGGCAAAATGGAACGACCATTTTGGCGGACAGTTTGGCAGTTTCTAACAAAACTAAACACATTCTTATCGGCAATCATATTCCTTTTATTTTATCTCCGTATTTCCCCATTCAAAAGCCTACGCACAGATGTTTATAGCAGCTTTATTCAGAATTGCCAAAACTTAGATGCAATCAAGATGTGCTTAAGTAGTGAATAAACTATGGTAGATCCAGACAATGGAATATTATGCAGTGCTAAAAAGGAAACTGCTACCCAAGCCATGAAAAGACAGAGGAAAGTCAAATGCACATATAAGTGAAAGAAGCCAATCTGAAAAGGCTTCTTGAGTTTTCTTAGGCAGGTACTTTAAGGGGGCTGGGGTTATTCTAGGGATGTGACCTTGAGCTGTATGATTCTGACTATATGACATTCCTGAAAAGGCAAAACTGTGGAGACAGTAAAATGATCAGTGGTTTCCAGAGGTTAGTGGGAAGAGAGGATTATAAGAGCAGTGAAGCTATTCTGTATAATGCTATAATGATGGACACATTTCATTATACATTTGTCCAACCCCACAGAATGTACAACACTATGAGTGAGCCCTAATGTAAACTATGGGCTTTCGGTGATAATGGCGAGTCAGAGTAGCTTCATCAGTTATAGAGACCATGATGCTACTGGATGTTGATAACTGGGGAGGCTCTCTGGGGGCAGGGAATATATAGAAACTCTCTGTACTTTCTTTTCAATTTTGCTGTGATAAAACTGAACATAAAACCTAAAAAACAAAGTCTATTTTTTTAAAAAAAAAACATAAGGAAGCATTAACCATAAAAAAATATTGACAAATTTAATCCTTCAAATTAAGAACATCTATCTCTTTTCATAAAAAATACAATATTCAGAAGGTAAAAGGGCAAGCCACAGAATAAAGAAAATATCTGTAACACAAATAACAGAAGATTTGTACCCAGAATGTATAAAGATTCATAAACCAACGGAGGAGAAAAAAAACTTCAGACATCTGAAAATATCTTTATTTTAAGACATCTTTAGAAACAGCTCAAGGTCACATCCCTAGAATAACCCCACCCCCCTTAAAGTACCTGCCTAAGAAAACTCAAGACTGCCACAAGAACTTAATTGGTTGTTCCACCCAACACCTGAAGATAGGGGGGCCCTGTCTCCCAGCCTCTGGGGAGACAGGAGCCCTACTTTGATGAGTGCTAGTTAACAAACCCAGATGGATTTCACTTTGACTAGTCCCCATCCCCTTTGTTGTGATTTTTCACTTCCGTGACTCTACGGAGCCCCTATTTGCCCCACACCGTACTCCCTCACTCTCCCTTTAAAACACCAGTCAACTCTGTGCAAACTGAAGTTGAGTTCAATTCATTTTTCTCCTTATTGCAAGAGTATATTACTGATTAAAATCTGTACTTTCGACTTTTTTTTAGAAGTGAAAATTTATTTTTTTTCAAGAAAAACGATTTTAAATATAAAAATGTTACATGCAATAAACGTTAACATTTCAAGAAAAAATTATCTTAAATATGTTACATAAAATTATTCAAGAAAAATGATCTTAAATATAATAATATTACGTGCAATAAACATTAGTATTTCAAGAAAAAAAGGATTTTAGGTATAATAATATTAGCAAAACTGTACTAACATAGTATGAGATCAAAAAGTTGTAGGAAATATTAAAAATCTGCAAATAACAGGATTACTTCTATTAGATTCTAAAATATTTATTTTCCCTACTGGCTCTATTTTTGTTCATCAGTTTATGTTGTTCATTATATTCCACAAATGAGTGAGATCATGTGATGTTTATCTTTCTCTGACTGGCTTATTTCACTTAGCATGATGCTCTCCAGGTCCATCCATGCTGTTGCAAATGGTAAGAATTCCTTCTTTTTTACAGCAGCGCAGTATTCCATTGTTTAGATGTACAACTGTTTTTTAATCCACTCATCTGCTGATGGGCACTTAAGCTGTTTCCAAATCTTAGCTATCGTAAATTGTGCTGCTATGAACATAGGGGTGCATATGTCCTTTCTGATTGGTGTTTCTGATTTCTTGGGATATATTCCCAGAAGTGAAATTACTGGGTCAAATGGGAGTTCCATTTTTAATTATCTGAGGAAACTCCATACTATTTTCCACAGTGGCTGCACCAGTCTGCATTCCCACCAGCAGTGCATGAGGGTTCCTTTTTCTCCACATCCTCGCTAGCACTTGTTTGTTGATTTGTTGATGATAGCCATTCTGACAGGTGTGAGGTGGTACCTCATTGTCGTTTTGATTTGCATCTCTTGGATGGTTAGTGACTTTGAGCATGTTTTCATATATCTCTTGGCCTTCTTTATGTCCTCTTTCAAAAAGTGTCTATTTAGGTCCTTTGTCCATATTTTGATTGAATTGTTTATCTTCCTTTTGTTAAGATGTGTGAGTTCCCTGTAAATTTTGGAGATTAGACCCTTATCAGAGATAACACTGGCAAATATGTTCTCCCATCAGTGGGCTTTCTTATTGTTTTGTTGATGGTTTCTTTTGCTGTGCAGAAGCTTTTTATTTTAATGTAGTCCCATTTGTTTATTTTCTCCTTAGTTTCCATTGTCCTAGGAACTGTATCAGTAAAGATATTGCTACAACATATGTCTGATATTTTGCTGCCTATAGATTCTTCTAAGGCTTTTATGATTTCCCATCTTATATTTAAGTCCTTTATCCATTTTGAGTTTATTTTTGTGTGTGGTGTAAGTTGGTGGTCTAGTTTCATTTTTTTTGCATGTATCTGTCCAATTTTCCCAACACCATTTATTGAAGGGACTGTCTTGACTCTATCGTATGCTCTTGCCTCCTTTGTCAAATATTAATTGAGCATAATGGCTTGGGTTCTCTCTTCTGTTCCATTTATCTGTATGTCTGTTCTTGTGCCAGTACTAGGCAGTTTTGAGAACAGTGGCTTTGTAATATAGCTTGATATCTGGTATTGTGATCCCCCCAACTTTGTTCTTCTTTCTCAGGATTGCTACGGCTATTTCGGGTCTATTTTTATTCCAGATGAATTTTTGGAGAGTTTGTTCTAGGTCTATGAAATATGCCATTGGTATTTTAATGGGGATTGCATTGAACCTATAGATTGCTTTGGGCAGTATGGCCATTTTAATGATGTTGATTCTACCAATCCATGAACACAGTATATTCATGGATTATACTGTGGCAGGTACAGATGTTATTTGCATACTGCCTTAGACTATCTCAGATAATATATTTTCTATGGAAGAAAATAGCTTTAAAAATCAAATTTCAACTTATTGAGAGTAAAGAGAGAGTATTCCCTCTTATCCATGGTTCCAAACTTGAGCGTGTATTGCAGTCACCTATAAACATGGAGATCATGAGGATCCAAGAATATTATGTTACTTGTTTCCCTGTTCACTGACTTACTTTAAGCCTGTACCATAGGTAGGTAAACTGCTGCACATGAATAAGGAGGGATGCACAAAGTTGTTCATTGCAGCACTATCCATTAGAGCCACACAATGCAAGCAACACATTGCAATCAATTAGGATTAGATCCATATCATAACTAACAGTCAAAGCAAATAAATTAGATCTTCACATTTAGACATGGGGGGGAATTTTAAAAATATAATTTTAAGCCAAAAAAAAAGCAAGTTGCATAATGATTGTACATTATGATACTATTTGTATAAATATTTAAACACATTATTGGGGGATGCCTGCATATGCAGTAAAAATGTAAAAATATAGAAGCAGTTATCTTTGGGAAGGGAAAAAAGTGGGTTCAGGATGGGATACAGAAGAGGAGTACATCTGTGTATGTAACATTTAATTAATGTTAAATCTGAGTACATGGGTGTTTATTAGTGTTACTATATATTTGTTAGATGTTTGCTATTTTTCACTAAAACAAGAGGACTCAGGAACATCTAGCTTTAATCTGAAATGATTTCCAAGTCATGTGAATGAGTAGCAGCATTTTACGCTATTCCTAGTAAGTCTGATTTCTAGTCATTTTTTCCTCTATTCCCAAAAGTTTTTTGGTTCATCAAAAATAATGCTTGAAGAGTGCTATCCACAAAATATTTTTAAGTACTTACCCAATAAACAGAGATAGTTGGGTTCAGTCAATCTGGATAGTTTTGTGACCTGATTCAAGATGTTGTAAAGCTCTATTGGTTCACATAGAACCAAATCAGCCATCCTACAGGGAAGAAACAACATAAAGCATACATAGCCAGGACTTCTGGTCAAGATGGTGGTGTAAACACAGTACTCGCATCATCCTTCCACAATCACATTAATCACGTAAAGCATATTACCTCTTTCTATTTTAAACTAGAGGCCTGGTGCATGAAAATTCATGCACTTGGTGGGGGGTCTCTCAGCCCAGCCTGCGCCCTCTCACAGTCTGGGAACCCTCAGGGGATGTCCAACTGACATCTTAGGCCCACTCCCCGGGGGATTGGGCCTAAGCTGGCAGTCAGACATCCCTCTGGCAGCCCAGGAGCCCTCAGGGGATGTCCACCTGCCAGCTTAGGCCCACTCCCCAGGGGATCGGGCCTAAGCTGGCAGTCAGACATCCCTCTGGCAGCCTGGGAGCCCTTGGGGGATGTCTAACGGCTTAGGTCCGCTCCCTGTGGGACCCTGTGGGGAGTGGGCCTAAGCCGTTAGTCGGACATCCATAGCACTGCCTCTCCCACCACCACCCCTGAGCTGGCCAGCCACAAGCCAGCTTCTGGCTGAGCTGTGGGGGCCCCCTGTGGAAGTGCAATGACCACTAGGTGACAGCTCCTGCATTGAGCATCTGCCCCCTGGTGGTCAGTGAGCATCGTAGTGACCGGTCATTCCTGGTTGTTCTGCCATTATGGTCAATTTGCATATTGCCCTTTTATTATATAGGATGAGTGCTCAAAAAGTTAACATATTGAATTAAACTCTTTCTTAATGCATCGTTGGGCAAAGATTAAAGTAATCATGAACATAATCAAGAAAGCCTCAAAATTCTGTAGTGAGCCCTGGCTGCTGTGGCTCCATGGTTTCGAGCATGGTCCCTTACACTGAAACATTGTGGGCTTGATCCAGTCAGGGTTCATGCATGAGGCAGTTGATCAATGTTTTTCTTTCACATCGATGTTTCTCTCTCTCTCTCCCCGTTCCCCTCTCTTTAAAATCAATGAAAAAAATGTCCTCAGGTAAGGATTGATAAAAATAAGAATAAATTTTGTAGTGAAATGTGTGTAGAGAATAAAATATTTAACTATATAATAACTATGAACTATATAAATAACAACCAAGCTATAAAATAGTCAACAGTTCACTTGTTTTTTAGCATATAATTACTGAGCACCTACTTACATGACAGGCACTCAAAATAACTGTGGTAAACTAGACCTACCTTCATTAAGGTTACATTCTAGCATGGAATTCAGACACTGGACACAAAATACAAGTAAGAAAAGCACTATAAGAGTGTCAGTGTCCCATGTTGGAGGAGGAGCTAATGAGAGGCCCTAACCTAGTTGCGGGAATCAGAGAAGGGCTGTCTGAGATGTGACTGTTGAGACAGGAGGCTGGGCAAGACTTAGCCAGAAGAAGAGAGGGTGAAAAAGAAGGCAAGAACATTCAGTACCTGAGAGAGTTCAAGGAGACTGGTATGGCAACAGCAAGGAGAGAGTAATGAGGGAAGACCCTGAGGAGGCTTATGATAAGGATCATGAAGGTCAATATTGGATGGAGAATTGCTGATGTGTACTGACAAAACCACCTGGCCAGCTTGGGCCCTGGCTCCTGACTGCAGGGATGAGATACTGGTTCCTGAGCATGACTGGTGCTCCAAGGACACTGAAGGGGAAGGACTGGGCCTGTGCAGCAGCTCCCTGCAGGGAAGCCTCCTTTTAGCAAGGGGTGGAGGCTGCAAGGAGCTGCCCAGCACCAGTAGAAACTGTTGGAGAAGTTGAATCCAGAGGTAGGTAATCTTGATCAAAACAGTTAGGGTCCATTTCAGTTACCAGTGTGATGCTCAGGGAGAGCCCAAACCCTTGACACCTCCTCAAGAACTTCTGTTCTCAGCCTCCCCTCCATCAATTTCAACCTCTACATGGATCATTCATATTAGCACACAAACATCCTCTATATCCATCTTTGTTCTCTTTACAGCAGTACTTCTCAAAAGGGTGGTGTTGAATCACTGTCTCCACTTCCTCAGCTCCAAACTCTCTACATCCTAATCATAGCTGTGCCATTTACTATGGGCTGCCTTATGGTGAGTAATTAGCCTCTGTGTGCCTCAGTTTGCATCTCTGTAAAGTGGGGGTAATATTAGCTTTGCCGCTTCTATAAAATGAGCACAATAGTACCTGTTTGTAGTGTGTGGGTTAATGAAATTACACGTAAGGTATTCTGAGCAGGGAGGAAATGAATGCTCAGTAAGTGTTGGCTATTGGCACAAGTTTCTCCCCTGGAGCTTCTAACCCTATCAAACCACAGAAACTATTCTTATCAAGGTCATCAACAATGTCCATCTCGGTCAAACCCTCCCTGGAATTAGCTACAACAATCAAGATTTAACTATAAAACTGCGAACAAAGACCACTAGGGGGTGCACCAAGGAAGCATAACAAAATGCGGAGACAAAGAAACAGGACAAAATTGTCAATGGAAGATATAGAGTTCAGAACCACACTTTTAAGGTCTCTCAAGAACTGTTTAGAAGCCGCCGATAAACTTAATGAGATCTACAAGAAAACTAATGAGACCCTCGATCTTATATTGGGGAACCAACTAGAAATTAAGCATACACGGACTGAAATAACGAATATTATACAGACTCCCGACAGCAGACCAGAGGAGCACAAGAATCAAGTCAATGATTTGAAATGCGAGGAAGCAAAAAACACCCAACCGGAAAAGCAAAATGAACAAAGAATCCAAAAATGCGAGCATAGTGTAAGGAGCCTCTGGGACAGCTTCAAGCGTACCAACATCAGAATTATAGGGGTGCCAGAAGATGAGAGAGAGCAAGATATTGAAAACCTATTTGAAGAAATAATGACAGAAAACTTCCCCCACCTGGTGAAAGAAATGGACTTACAGGTCCAAGAAGCGCAGAGAACCCCAAACAAAAGGAATCCAAAGAGGACCACACCAAGACACATCATCATTAAAATGCCAAGAGCAAAAGATAAAGAGAGAATCTTAAAAACAGCAAGAGAAAGAAACTCAGTTACCTACAAGGGAATACCCATACGACTGTCAGCTGATTTCTCAACAGAAACTTTGCAGGCCAGAAGGGAGTGGCAAGAAATAGTCAAAGTGATGAATACCAAGAACCTACAACCAAGATTACTTTATCCAGCAAAGCTATCATTCAGAATTGAAGGTCAGATAAAGAGCTTCACAGATAAGGAAAAGCTAAAGGAGTTCATCACCACCAAACCAGGATTATATGAAATGCTGAAAGGTATCCTTTAAGAAGAGGAAGAGGAAGAAAAAGGTAAAGATACAAATTATGAACAACAAATATGCATCTATCAACAAGTGAATCTAAGAATCAAGTGAATAAATAATCTGATGAACAGAATGAACTGTTGATTATAATAGAATCAGGGACATAGAAAGGGAATGGACTGACTATTCCTGGGGGGGAAAGGGGTGTGGGAGATGCGGGAAGAGACTGGACAAAAATCGTGCACCTATGGATGAGGACAGTGGGTGGGGAGTGAGGGCAGAGGGTGGGGCGGGAACTGGGAGGAGGGGAGTTATGGGAGGAAAAAAAAAGAGGAACAAATGTAATAATCTGAACAATAAAGATTTAAAAAATAAAATAAAATAAAATAAAATAAAATTATAAAAAATAAATAAATAAAATAAAATAAAATAAACAAACAAACAAACAATGTCCATCTCACCTAATCCATTAGTCACTTCTCTCTGTGCTCAAATGATGAAGTTTCTTAGCTGCATTTACCCCAGTTGAGCATTCCTCCTTCCCCAGTACTCTCCACTTCCCAAAGTCCACACACATACTAGTACTCTCCAGGCTTCCCTCCTACCTCTTGGACTGCTCCTGCTGTCTTCTTTTATGGGAGGCTCTATCTTTACATAAGAATGCCCTTGGTCATAGTCACCTTTCTTCTCTAGCTATACTTTCATTCTAGGAAAGGGCTTCTCAACCTCAGCCGGACTGATATTTGAGGCCAATCTTCTGTTGTGGGGGTTGACCTGTACATCGTAGGATGTTTAGCAGCATCCCTGGCCTCCACCCAGTGGTTGCCAGTAGCAAACCTTCCCCAATCTAGCTGTAACAACCAAAAAAGTTTCCAGAAGTTGCCAAATGTTCCCTGGAAGAAGAGATACCAAAAACCCATTCATAGGATTACTGCCACATCACCTTTTTCAATTGCCGTTTTCTCTTCTTTTGAATTTGAACTCTGGAGTTATTGTTATACTGTTATATGGTTTGGGAGATTAAGGGTTTCTTTTTTGTTTGTTAGGATGCTCTGATCTGACATTTGACATGAAAACAAAGTGCTAGATGCTCTTGTTGACGTCCATCAATGAGATGGGGAAAATATAACAGTTCTTGGTAACGTCCTTTATAATAATGGTTTGATTTTTTTATTTCAAGAGAATCTTTTTTCCAATGCTTTTTTTTTTTAACCCAGTTTCCTTATCACTTGCTATAGATGGCTTCTGTATTCATGCACACTATGTTGCAGGTCTGTTTCATTTAGTAACTGAAAATTATTGCTTAATTTTAAAAATGCTAGTTGAGAACCACCACTCTAAAATCTAGAGTCTAGCTCAGCCGTGGGCAAACTACGGCCCGCAGGCCGGATATGGCCCGTTTGAAATGAATAAAACTATTAAAATAAAAGACCGTACCCTTTTATGTAATGATGTTTACTTTGAATTTATATTAGTTCACACAAACACTCCATCCATGCTTTTGTTCCGGCCCTCCGGTCCAGTTTAAGAACCCACTGTGGCCCTCGAGTCAAAAAGTTTGCCCACCCCTGGTCTAGCTGATCCATCTCACTCCTGTATACCAATGAGTCCCAAACTGTACCCCTGCTTGACTTTTCCACTGAGCTCGACTTCACTTGGATGCCTAATTAGCATCTCAAATATAACATAACCAATATTGGGCTTTTAATTCACACATGCCCACAACTCCAATGCATGTTTATCTTTTAGTCTTCT